TTCCTGTAGAGTGGTTGGAGGCAGTGAGGCATTTCAGAGGGCTGGCAAAGGGCACCAGCATGCTGGTGGGAAAAGTGAGGACAGGAGATGCTCTCAGCTTGTCAGGGCTGCCCCAAGGTGGTGTTATCTGCTCCAGAGGAGTGTCCATGATCTTCTCAAAATCTGAAGAAGAGTCACTGGTAAAATGGTGGCTCTCCTTGCAGAAGGAGGACTTGCGAGTTATCCGTGACAGGGACTGGAACATGGAGCTCCTCTTTCCCCACCTCAACTCCACTGCCACATCCTACCCATTCTCTCCTGCCTCCAAAGTTTTGGGTCGCCCATAGGATGTGGCCCTGCCTTGGCAGGAGCAGTGAAGGATTCTCTCTCTGCTTCTTCTACAACTGGCGGACAGAGCAGAGCACTCCACACAGAGGGGCAGAGGGCATTTATTCAGGGAAAAGAAGGAACCTCCTCTAGCTCAACATTGCATGGTTGGTGTTCACCACCTTCGCAGGGCTGCCGAGAGGTGCAGCACAGCGTGCTGCCTCCCCAGGGCTTGCCCATGGGACTGCATCAGGTAAAACAACAATAGAAGCCCCAAATTGCCAGACTAATTTTTATTTAGGCAACGTGTGCACGTAGCACTTGTAGGGGTCATAAACTAGATTCAGGACAATATCACTTGCAATGAAGAGTTGGATTCTTCCTGTGGAGACATTTTTGTCCCATTTTCCATTGTGTGCTCTGTGCTTAACCTAAATGACATATTTCTAGGTGTCCTTCATGAAACAAGCGTAAAGCTAAATACTACTTCAGTGGTCAGCCTGAGAAAACTGGTAGAAATCCAAATTAAACAAGCATTATTTATAGAATCTAATTTTTAAATTTGCTCCAATTTGCTTCCTCTTAATATTGTGTCAGTTCTTTTAGTTGATGCAGTTCTGAGATGCTTACAAAAATCCTAAACCACTGCAACATATTATAGGGAAACTCTGTCTACACTGATTCTTTCTTGCTGGAACTACTTCGTATATAGCTCACAGAATTGTTGCAGAAAGTATGTTTCTGGAACGAATTTTCCTGACTTACTTCTGGGAGATATGAGTTAGAAACTTTTAGCATGGTTACAGCAATATCTGCCTAAATTCACACTGCTGGGGCTTACCTCCTGATGTCATTGCCAGTCCTGACACAGGGACCAAGGCAAAGTCCGAGGAAGCACAGCTAGGTGTCATTTGAACTTTCCTGCTTCTGAGCAGGCAGCCTTTGATCCTTTCCTGTTTTTATGGCTCTGAACTTCCTGTTTTCGTCCCTAGGTTTAACAAGGATATTGAGTTCATGATTGGACACAAGCCCAATATCTTCTGGCAGGTGACCTGGAGAGTTATCAGCCCTCTCATTATGTTAGTTATCTTCTTCTTCTATTTTGTGGTGAAGGTCAATGAAGAACTGCTCTACAGTGTCTGGGATCCTAGCTATGTAAGTATATAAAACCAACTCATTTATTCAGAATTACTGGATATATTCTTTAATTCCAGAGTCATATTAATTTCCCACCTGAAACAGGTTGCAGGTAAAAAAACTTGTTACAAAACATAAAGCCATAAAAAAAAATAACACTTAGAAAAATAAGTCCTGATTTGTACTGCCTACAACTGATACACAGCAGCACCTGAGCAGCTTTTCTAAATTGGGTAAAGCCCAAACATTAATCCAGTTGTCAGGTAAGACTGGAACAGGACCACTTAAACAGACATCAGTTCCATGGTAGGGGTTATAGAAGAGCTGGAAATGTCACAACCTTTCTGTGTTGACAAAAGACCAAGTCTGTGAAGGCATTTTGATATTGCATGTGTTTACATGTGCACTTAAGACCACGGAACTGGAGTAGTGCTGGTTACTCAATGCTAACAGAAGAAATTAATATTCTCCTACCCAGATTTCTTCTTCACTCTTCCAAGTATACTTGCATCATTTGAATTATAATTAGGGTAATAAATTACCTACATTACCTTTCCTCCCCTTGAAGAATAATAAGCTGTATGTGGTACTGGGGAGGGCATAACAAGACAAAGGAAGGGGACCCATCATTTTCCCCAGGACCTCATCTCTTCTTCCCTGCCTACCTAGCTCTGATTTTTTGCTCTCTGGCCTTATAAAAGTCAGCATTCTTGGGGCAAAGACAGGCATACAGCACATTAAGTTTGTGAAGGTCACCTTTTATTTTAATAATACTTTTATTTTAATAAGACAGGAGAGAAAGGAAGATAGGGAAATGGGGCTTCTCTCTCCTCTCCCTCCTCCACCAGCTCCATTCCTCAAAACCTGCTCCCACACCCTGCTCTCAGCCTTCCTGCCCATGGGCTATTTGGCCACCAAGCCTTGGTTCCCCTGTAGCAGCCCCTGCTCCTCACCGTATTTTTTCTCCCCACTGCTTCTAAGAAAAAAATAAATCCCAGATGACTGAGACTGCAACCCTTAAGCTGGAAACTGCTCTGGAAACAGCAAATGGCTGTTCCTCATGTCTAGCTGCTGCTGTGGTTCTGTTTCTGTTCTATTAAAATACTGAACAAGTACATGCTCACGGGTATATTCTCCACATGGCTTCCTACAGCTTGCTTGTTTGTTCTTTCAGGAAGAGTTCCCGAAAACACAGAAAGTTGGATATCCCAATTGGGTGTATGCTATTATTGTAATACTTGCTGGCGTGCCGAGTTTGGTCATCCCCGCCTTTGCCATCTACAAAGCCATCAGAAATTGCTATCAGAAGAAAAAGGATCGCACAGGCCTTATAGGAGCCATATCTGAGACTTCCGTCAATGGAAACTTAAAGAATTCAGCATAAAGCCCTGTAAAAATGTGGAAGAATGCCACAAGAAGAAAGGAAAAAAAAATTCTTTAAGAATCCAGAATTAATTTTGTTGCCATAAAAGGATAACTGTGTGCTATTTCCAGGTAAATATTTGGTCTCTTTACAATGCAATGCTCTGTGAAGAGGTAATAGCTTGGATCCTGGAAGCAAAACGTCCACCTTTGCAAGTGATGGGAGCACCAGGCCAAATCCTTTATCCTGCTTCTGGTTTTGAAGCCAGCTTGTTTGAAACTGTCTTGGAGGTCTCTGTCTGCAGATGCACTGCGCTTGGCAAGCCATAAGTGACTCTTCCATGTCCGATCATGCTGGTTGGGTTACCAATCTGAAGGGTAATTTTATACTGACTTCTCTTGCACCTTAAATTGTTTTTACTTTACATGCCACCATGTTGCACAAAGCCACCAATATTATATCTCATACAGAAGTTGAAAATATTTAATAAAAAACATTTCTAAGTATGGAAATGAGAGTTTGTGTATTTTATTTTATTTATGTATGTGTATTATTAATTGCCTATGATGTCCAAGCACACAGGCACTCACACACCTACCTTGACATTGTTTTGTGCTTCACATTTCCGTGTGACACAGGGGAGGTAAGTCAGCAGTCCCATTCCTTACGTGGTCTCTGGAGAGAGAAAGGAGCACCACAGAGAGAGTGGTCAAGCATTGGCTGCCCAGGGAAGTGGTGGAGTCTCCATCCCTGGAGGCGTTTAAGAGACATGAGGACATGGCACTAAGGGACATGGTTTAGTGGTGGGACTTGGTGATCTTGAAGGTCTTTTCCAACTCTACATAGACTCTAGAGTATAATTTTAGAGTATATCTACACCAAACTGAGAGGTGATTTTCCTACTGAGAAAAAGCTCAGCCGCTGAGAATGGACTGAGCTGAGCCTGAAGCAGTTGGCTTCAGGTGGCAGGGATGGAGGTGAGCATGCTGCTTTCTGTGGCATGTACTGAAGTGGTTTGAAGTGCAAAACAGCAAAACCCTGGTATTTTGGACAGAAAACAAAAAAAAGTAATTCTCACAGGCTTTCATTTGAAGGCAAGCACTCAGCTGCTACATTCCTCAGTAACTATTTAATGAACAATAAAAATAGTCACTTGGGATTCATTGACAGGTGGGAAGTGATTAACCTCAAGAAGTTGTGGTGGAAATGGACTGGATTCTGATACCCAAACGTATGTGGTCTTGTCCAGAGCAGAGTCCTGCCTTGGATTTGCTTGGGAACATAACCAAGAGAGGTTTGAAATTTCATATCAAAAGATAAGAGCTTTTATTTATTTTAAGAACTAGCAAACAGATAGCCAGCTAGCTGCTTTAACACCTGACATTTCAAACCAGAAGAGGTGCTCTGCAGCACTCGATGCAGCAGAAGCCGTGAGGCTTCATCTGGTCCATGCGCACCTCGGGATGGACAAAAGCAACTGCAAGTACAGCCATGAAAACACACCTTTATCAGACTGTGGCTATCAACAATGACTATCACAGAGCAATACATGGCATGGAAGAGGTTTTAGTGCAGTAATAGGTAGATCCAATTAATACTAATTTTAATTTGCACTTACCAAAGACATCTTCATTCACTTAACTGTGTTAGCAAAGCAGCAGAGGAAATGGCAAGTTTGTTCACAGATCTTTCTAAGTGTTTTACAGTTTTAATAAATCTGATTGCTGTGTTTCTTTTTAATTATATTCAGCATCACACCTCTTTGAAAGCATCTGAGAACAGAAGGAGAACAGAAAATAAAAATCTGTTTGATCCTGAGTTACCGATTAACAACATATTCCCAAGTTCTCTGGCTATAGAAGGAACTGCAAAACATCATGAGAGGTCACTCTGTCTATACAATAATAATTCCTGGTTTGGTCTTTAAACTGCAGCACTCCTTGCCCCACCTCCTTTTCCAGAATCCTTCGGGCACCCCCCATAAAACCTGCAGGAGAAACACCTGCAGGTGTTGAAGCATCTTCCCACTTACAGGAAAAGGGGCTAAAGAGCCAAGGACATTTCACACAAATGTCGAAAGATTTACCCGTTGACATGCCCCCTGAAGCCCCTAAAGAAGACAGCAGGCCGAAGTGGGACAACAAGTTGCAGTACATTTTGAGCTGCATCGGGTTTGCTGTTGGCTTGGGGAACGTGTGGCGGTTTCCATACTTGTGTCAGATACATGGAGGCGGTAAGACTGAAATGGGACCTTGCCAAAATATTAAACTATCATCCTATATAACTGTACTAACATAAGATGGGCATTCAAGTTATATATTTGCATCACTTTTTATTTATTTATTAAGCTATCTAAGTCTCATAACCATTTTGCACCATTGGCTTTCTCTTTAGCTTGGCTTTCTCTATACACATATACTTAATTTTTAAAGGATGTGTTTGTTTAGGAAATAAGGCCAAACTGATGATAACTGATGTTACAGTTCTTACATTGCTGCTACAGTGCTGACGGGAGGAGGAAGCTGAACTTGCAGCTTATTATCCTTAGAAAAAAAGCGAGAAGTCCTGGGAAGGCCCCCGTGAACCAGTTTCCCCTCCCTTCTCTGATGCCATTAGGAGGTAACTTGTAATCCAGAAATGAGCAAATCTAAATCACACTTTTTGATGGCTCTGAAGCCATCTGAAATGCTGGGCTGATTTAACACAAGCACAAAAATCCGAGGTGATGCTGACACCCACCCAAGACTTTTTCTGGGCACCATTCCCATGAAGAATTGCTTTAGAAACAGCCAATTTAGTAAATACGGACGGATCAGAAATGAGTAATTAACAGCTCACCACTTACAGTAGCTTTTGAGATCTGCCAAGATAAGCTGTCTCGAGCAGAGTGATGTAGCAAATTGTTTCAGCCCAGTTTTATTTGTTATCTTTCAATTAACTGGAGAGTATAAAATTCAAACTGGGACAAACTTGCAAATAGTAGAAAAAATATTAAATCCAAGCATCTTCTACCAAGATATTTGTGTTCCTTGGGGAACTAAGTGTATTTTAATCAACCAAGGAACCATGGGTGGATGCTGTCTTTAGTAGCAGGAAGCATTTTAGAAAGAAGTGGCTACTTCGGGACTCTGGTGAGTAGCTGAACAAATGAAATTGAGCAAGCTGTATCAACCAAAAGAATGCTGGCACACATAAATAGGGCACTAGGAATTAGGTGGAGATATTACTACAAGTACTAAGACAACATCTGTGACCACTTTTCCAAATCAAGTTGAAAGAAAAATAAGAAAAAAATGCAGAAAAGCCCCAAGAACTATTCAAGGTCAGGAAAACTTATGGTATGAGGAATGACTTAAGAATCTAATTCATTTAGCTCAAGAAACTGGAAAGGAATGAATACATTTAACACAGTCTATAAATGAGGTGCTACAGCACCAATTCAAATAAGAAGAGAGAAGAAGCAGTAGGTTAGGTGTCTCACAGGAGACTTAGACTTAACACTTCATGTTATTTATTTTCAAAATGTGAAAACCAGTGAAATGCTTGCAGAAGACTACCACAACCAGGTGGCTAGAAAGCCATAGGTGCAAGCACGCTGTTTCTCTTTGCAGCAGCTGGAATGGCTGGAAAAAGCCTGTCACTTCAGGTAATGATGCACACATTGGTGAGATGGGATAAATGCCTTTAGATTGCCATCCCTGCAGCAGAAATGGCATGGGGCCTGAAGGGAGGGGGTTCAGGAGCAGGAGTTAAGGTCAGTCAAATGCCCAGCAGCATCTCAGATGGCCTTGGACACCAGAGACCAGGCAGCTGAATGGTGCCCACCACTACCAGAGATGCATCTTCAGATCCCTGGATAGCCTGAAAAGCAAAGACAAAGCAACAGACAACTCTCAGGAACAGCCAGCACTTACACAGAATTTCATTTTTAAAGAACTTAATTCCATTTTATATCTGATGTGCCTCAGGTGCCTCAATATTTTTTTGATTGTGCTTTAAACAGTTACTGAGAGTGAAACAAAGTATAGCCCAAAGCTCACTAAGCTCTAGGAAATGGAGAACAAGATTAAATTACCTGTGTTAATGACAAGCAAAAGGAAAGCAGCTTGGTTCTGTGCTAAATCCTGTGCTAACATATTTCTGAATGATCTAGAAGATACGCTTTCTGTGTGTCTTTAACTGCATGAAGCCAGGAAAGAAATCTGGACCCCTTCATACAAAGTTAAAAACTGAAACAGAGTTAGAGAATGCATAAGATGGAGACAACTGACACCCTCATATGTCCACATCCAGCATCTAGGGACAGGTATTTCACAAGGAAAGAGACTGAAATGAATGAGAAGGATAAGAAAGGACACAAAATTTATGTGAAGAAAAGAAAGACACAGAGAAATAGAACAGAAACTATGTTGTTATTTCTACTTATCTTTCTATCTATTCCTTGTATCTAAGGAACAAAAAACATTCAGTATTAACAAATAGCATGGTAAAATTAACATAGTGTAATATTTTTATAATGTAATGAGCAATTAACCTGAATCGCTCAGTGGAAAGTTTGAAACCAACATGTGGGATGACAGACAGAAACAGCTCCTCTGCACATCTCACCATGCTTCTGGGGCCACAGGCTGCATGAGGCTGCTCGAATTGTGCTTGAACTCAAGCACTGAATTGAAGCACAATTGTGCTTGAACTGTGCTTCGGGGTTTTGTGAAAACCTCTGCTATGGAAGGTGAAGTATCAGTCTCCTGCTCGTAAAAAAAAATGCTTTTACACCTTCTCGTGAAGTATCAAGGGACACTTTCCAGTGCTGGAGGTGGGGAACCAGTTGTGGCCAGCTAGCTTCCAGCCTCCTCTATCCCCATGCTCCCTCCAGAAGATCACCCAACACTGTCCTCCTGCTGAGGTTTGATCTCAGGGGTCCCCTGCCTACTGACTGCTCCCACCCCAAGTAAACCATGAGTATGAGGACAAGGAGACCTGCTCCGACCTTTCTTGTGGACCACACAGTGCTCAGAAACTCTGCTTCTGTATCAAGCTGCATTGTTGGAAACAAACAACTCAGGTGCAAAATCCCAGTAGATTTTCAGGGGTACTGGAGCATAAATCCTGCTTGTGCACACCCGGAGATGTGAGCACGGGACAGGCCAGCAGCATTGTGGCTAACCATGGGTCCCAGGAGATGTGGTGGCTCGGCGCCTGCAGCCACAGCCATGAGCACAGCGAAACCCAGGATGGAAATGGCACAGAAGGTGTAGTCGAAGGCTGAATGGCTTCTGGGGTGCAGACCATGGTTTCACAACTGGTCCAGGTGATATCCAAGCATTTAAGAGTTAGGCAATGCGCTTTTCCTCATTTCTACATCTTTTAAAAAACAAGAGATAAAAATAAATGCTTGTATATTTGTCTCATGTCAGCTGTTCTCATCGGACCTCTGAACCTTATTCATCGCACATTAGTGTTACTCAGTAACTTGGATCTAATATAATATCAGTTCTGCTGACATTTATCACCTGCTTTCGTTACTGATTATTTGGGTTTATTGCCCGAGTTAGGTTAGCTATTTACTTTTCATGACTAATGGATATGAAGGTTGTTTGCCACAGTAAGTGGAGACAAACATAGAGGTTTCCAGGCAGCTGGGATTGAAAGGGTGTTTCTAAATGGCCCGGTATATATTTTGTCACCTGAAGATGAGATTCAAATAAGTCATATAGACATATATATGTACATATATATACTCGCATATTCAACTGAGTATACTTTAAAAACAACAACAACAGATTATTCTATCTGTAACTTACTGCAGTGTTGTCCTTCTGTTTACAGCTGGTATATACATGCCTGTCTAACCCATGGGTAATAAAAATTATGTGCAGTGCCTGAGCCTACACAACAACTGGAGAATATCTTTAATGCAAAACACACTTTCTTTCTAGGAAAATAAATACACATTAGTCCTATATCAGAACTTCCATTTACTTCTGAGGCAATGGTTTGCAGATATTCCTAACCCATGGCCTACCTGATCTCTAGCTAAAATTTGAATGACAGCTTGCTATAAAATGCAGTTGCCTGGCTCACTGAATTCTCAGAAGGAAAATAAAATCTGAGAGAAATAGCATATAGGCCTGGAAGGTATTGTAAAATAAATAAGAAAAAAAAAAAAAAAGCGTGTTACAAAGAGCAGAAACGTTCAGGTTTTGACAGAAGAATTAATGAAATTATTACAAGCAAAATTATGAAGTAATGAAACTGCGTGCCCTAGCTTTTCACCAAGGAGCTGAGAAGGATGCTATAACAGTCCAGAAAATGAGGCTTGTTCCCAAGCTCAGTAAATGGAAAGAATCATCACCATGAGGAATCATGACATCCTTAGAAGCTAAAGGGTCTCACGAGCAACCAGTATGGGCCAGGAAGAACAGATATGCAGAGAGAAGTAGTTGGTGCTTAGGTTCCAACATCCACGCTGCGCACACCTGAGGGTGTTATTTTCTAATTTCAGGCTTGCTGAATTTTCAGTTCACTACTATACCTGAACCCTTGTGGGGGAAAAAGGACAATTCTGATAATCCCCTTTCAATAGCTAATAGCTTTTTCTCTGAGTCTGAGTAAGCAGTTACCACCTCCTGCCACTTCTTGTAGGTAAAACATAAATTACCACAGGTATCTTGCCATTCAGTTCTCAGCCTTTTGGAAAAATGCATCCATCACCATTTCTCCTATGTACAAAGAGCACTAGTGATGTGGATCTCTGACTACTTGTTGCCTTGTACCATACTATTCTGCCACTTTTCAGATTACTCCAGTCATTACAATTTTTTTTTTCCATTCTTAAATCTCTGACCTGAAGGAACATTGTTATTCATGTCCTGACCTTTCAAATGCTGTTGTGTCTATAGATCGTTGTTTTAAGTTACTTGCCTTACTTTTGCTAGCTGATCTGCCGGCACTGTCAAGATTTTCAATATTGATCATATTGATCATAATCAATTCCTCTAAGTTTTTTTCTTCACCATTTAGGAAGTCATAGCTGATATTCCAACATCAAGCAAAGCTATTGGGTTTTCTTCTCCATTTCTCACTGAGGCTCAGCAATTTCTGCAGCTGGTACATCTGGATTAGCAGGTCACCTGGCCTGTACTTTAAACTGCTTTAACATCTCTGCTAGTCAGGTCCATTGCTTTCTCTTTCTAAGGCGTGACAAAACCAGTTTGGTGGTGTCATTCTGCTTTGCTGGCTGCCATGATTCAGTTTTAGATGGCTCTCCATCATCAGCCTCTTTGCCATTCTGCTTGCTGGTGGGGCCACAAGGTCATCCACAACTCTCAACAGGCTCTCTAGTAGTTCATGCTCTTCTCTTCCAGATTGTTACATGTAGGTGATATACAAAGATCATCCCCATCTATTATCATTTTCCAGGCAGAGGGCTGAATAGGGTTAAGCCACAGCTTTTCTGACCTGATTTGCCTCTCAATTGCTATGGAGTACATTGAAAATACTTTTTGCTGGAAGTACTTCAGTGATTTAATGGCAAATTAAAAGGTTGATGGGTCCCCAAGGCATTGCTGAGGTCAGCCTCTAAAAACACTAAATGTGTTTAGAGTGCACTGGGATTTTTCTTTTCTACTGCAATGACTGTAGAGCTGTCCCCACTCTAAGGGCTCTTCTCAGCAACAATACTGAGCATGACACACATTTGTGCTCCTTGTTGCTTTGGACTTTACTGTAAATGGAACCTACTTACCAATATGTCAAGTCTACTGAATTTCTGCTGTACCTGTGCTACACATGATACATGTGCTGGTATGTTTTTGCTGTACCTGTCTTTGAATGATGGGCTGTGTTTTGTGACACCAGCACAATTCTTCATTCTGCTTCTTGGACTTTATCCTTGCCTTTCCTACAGTTAGATTTCCCATGGCATCTTTTAAAAATGTATTTAAATTCTGTCTTCTGGCACACTCTCCCCTATCGATTAAATAGGTCCCCTGACTATACAGTGATGGTGAGTTCCTACTCACCATTACTTATTTACTACCTTTCCCACACCCCTTTTACTTTATGCCAGTAGGGAATTTTACACTGGAGAAGTGCAAGCTTCAAGTACTTGAGCAGATTATCTATGTTTTCCTGCCTATTTCCTTTTTGCCTAAAAACAGTGCAAGCAAATAAATAAAGAACTGAACCTGAACTGAGCCTCTACACTATCAGCCATTTATTTGACTTTGGCTTGAGGAAGATTAGCTCTGTTTCTCGCTAACCCAGTCTTCTGCCATCATGTGATATTTGCAGGTAGCATAATTTTTACATTGAGATTTTATTTTTCACTGGAGCAAAATATGACTTTATGCTGTAAATGTAATGGAGATGCATACAAACCAGCACAAAGTAAACAGGCTTATATCAGCAGAATATTTAAATGTGCCCTGCTGTCTGCTGGCAAACAGAGAAGCAGAGAGAGATAACACGGGGCAGTTTGCACTCATTATTACACGGCTATTTCCAGGTAGATATGAAACGGGAGATAGGTCCCTTGTGGAATGGCCTGCTAGGAAGGGCTCAGCATCTCCTGGATTGTCCTGGGTGGTAAAACACTTACATGAAGGAACTGCTGTGGTCCTTACCTCCCTCTGTGAATCTCCCTCTTAGGGGGCTTTGTAATTGCTCTCAGGAGCAGCTTCCTACGAGCAGTGGGACTGCTGAGCAGGGCTTCCAAGCATCCAAAGTGGGAATCTTATGTGCTGGAAATCAACTCCAATGCTTCTTTTTCAAATCTGCTTCTTAGGAGTTAAAAACGTGTAAGGAAAACAGATCATAAAGACTTTCATTTCCTATTTCCACCTATGGCAAATTAAGTGCAGTCTCTCATTTAGAGCAGCATTATCTATCCCCCCCGCCCCATGCATTTCTTGATAAAGAACTAAACTATTAAAAAAACAACACCAAACCTTGCCTGGGAGTATCATACAGTTACTGCAATTACCTAGCAATAGGTAGCAAAATTATTGCAATTCCTAGCCCTAAGTGATTTAATTTATAAGCCCAGCCTTTCTAAACAGCCAGTGACTTGCAAAACAGAGGCAGTTCCTGGAAGAGCAGAAATCCTTGCTAGCTGCCTGACTTCCTTCTCCTGGCCAAAGACTGAGCGGAGAGCTGAATTGCTCTGCTCTCAGCACCAGGGCTGTGGTGATGGCATAACAAGGCACAGAACTGCTGACTAAGTGATGAAGTGGCACAGAGCTGGGTTGAGCTGATAGGAGGGTTGGAAGGGGCTGAGACAGCATTTGTGTTTGTTTCCCCAAAGAAAAGACATTTTGCAGGCATGGTGATAGTTGGCCATGCCAATAAATTTTCATTTGTTAGACCCTTTTGACTGAAGTGGCCAGAAGGTTTAACCTGGCCTCATGAAAATATTCAAGTTCACCAAGTTCACCTGGTCTCATGAAAATCAGCTTGTAAAGCTACGTTGGGGAGGAAAGATCTTGCATGAAGACATTGGAACAGCATAACAACCACATATCTAGAACTGTAGTAAGTGTTAATGTCGTGCAAGGGCCAGCCATAAAACCTTTTCAATTTTTAGAGATTCCAGTTGCATACTCCCCAGCTTGCATCCCTGCAACAAAAGAAAGGGAAATGGAGGGAAGGGTGAGGCTCTGTAGAGCTGCTGTGTTAATGGGATGTCAAAGTGCCTGAGGGGAAGCATTTTTAGGACTAAGGTTCCCAGCCCTCCCTCCTCCATCTCCCCCAACAAAACAACCCACAAACAAGTTACCCAACAGGCTTCCCCAGCAATGCTGCTTCTCTCAACACTTCTTTAAAGGACTTTGTTACCATCATGAAGTAGAGGAGATAACAGTGATTTGAGTGAGATGCAGATAACTGCGTGGCTCAATTGATCTTAATTATCTTTCCAGGGGCATTCCTGATCCCATACTTCATCGCTCTTATCTTTGAAGGAATCCCACTGCTGCATCTCGAACTCGCCCTAGGACAGTGCCTGAGGAAAGGCAGCATCAGCGCCTGGAGTGCCATCTCACCTTATCTTGGAGGAGTTGGTAGGTCTCTCAGGGTCCAGGCTGAAGGAACCGCAGCTGAGCTCCTGCTCAGCACTGATTCCTACAGGCCTTTCTCTGTTGCCCATTAGAAAATCACTGCCATCAGGTGTTATTCCAAGCACACGTGAGCCGTAAAGGCAAACCTTATAACCTTTGCTGTGGGAAGCACAGCAATCAGAGCCTTCTCTGAGACATAAGTAATAAGGAAAACCTCACTGGCTGATTAAATGAATCAGCAAACTAAGTGAACTAGGCTTGCTCCCACAGTGCTGAGGAGCCTATTGTATCCCTGTGGTGTCTGAGGTGTCAAGTGAGGTGTTAAAGCTGTCTGTGCAAGGACCAGCATGGGCTGGTGGGGCTGACCCATCACGAGCTCTGCCAGCCAACGTTGGCCTGTCCATACCACATCTGGGAGCTTTCACATTAGCCGCCATCTTGCTCCTGCCTCAGAGCTCCTCCAGAAGTCCATCTTGTCCTTCCAGGAAGGGTTGGACTGGAGGGGGGATGGACAGACAGATAGGAGATCAAGAAAAGGAGTCTGAAGAGTCTGACATCTCCTAAGCCCAAAGCAGATGCCTGAAAACAGGATCGGTGGTGACAGCTATGCCTGTGGGTGTGTGTGGGAGGAGAAGGGGTGGGTACGAGGAGTTATCTAAAGGTAAGAGGGCAACCAGGAAGAAACACCAAGCAGCAGGGTGGTGCCTCCAGCTAGACCCATCTCTGATAGTTAGGCATGTCCATCCTCCCCCTGCAAAAATGCAAGCAAGTGTAATCTGTAGTGTTGATATCCCTCCTTCCTTATTGTAGGACCAGAAGCTACCAGGTTAGGGCATATGCTCATATACTATGGGACAAAAGAGTGCCTTCATGCTGTGAAACTTCAGTCTGTTTTGGTCTGTTATTAAAATTGTGCCATGTTCTAGAAAATACTGAATTATATACTGCAGCAAGGCTGTCAACATCCATTTTCTAAATAAATAGCCTATATTTCAGACTTTCCCTGGGCTGTATAGTACCCAATATATTTTGTAGGAACTGGAGCAACTTTAAACACAATATTTTAGCAAAAGGGACCACCACAATAAATTAATTTCTGGTTCATCTTGCTTTCATGGCAGAGACTAGCAGCAGTATCTGTTTAAGCCTCACCTACATGCCCCTATTCTTATGCTAGTTGTTTGTTTTCTGGTAACCCCAGAGGGCTCAATAGGTCAGGCACCCCAAGTGTCTGATCCCAACAGGCCCCTATTCCTAAAGGCAGCACTTATTGCTCACATTTTTCATATTAGACAACCTTAATGGAGTCAGAGAAAAACTCATTCCCCCCACTCACCCCCCCTTTGCTGGAAGTGACCACAGGAAACCTCAACAACCTCAGCACTTGTCCCTGAGGCAGCTTATGGAGACAAACAAGGAAGGCCCAAAGCTGTGGGACCTACAAGGTCTCTGCTCTTGGTGCTTCCACAGCCCTGCTCTTGGCATTTCTCACCTGCTTGCTCGGGTAGCTGCTTGCTGGCACAAAGTCCTCAAGAAGGGTAAAAAGCTGAGCACCAGGCAGGACAAGGATGAAGCAGGGGAGCACCGGCCTTCTTGGAGCAGGGCTGGTGAAGCGGGGGGACTGTGCACCAGAGTTAGGTTACTGAGGACACTAATGGCTCTTTCCTGTGAAAATTTCTGGGGAAAAAAAAATAATCTTGAGAAATTAGGAGATGTGAGTTTCTAACAGCAAGTGCTGTGTCTGGTAACTTCTTCCAAAGTTTTTCTAAGCTGAGATCTTGTGTCTTCTGCAGGGGTTGGTTCGTGGATGGTGTCGGTTCTGGTGAGCTTGTACTACAACACCGTTTTAACCTGGGTGATGTGGTATTTCATAAACTCCTTCCAGGAGCCCCTGCCTTGGAGTGTCTGTCCTCTAAATGAAAACAGAACAGGTAACTGCTGCTCCAGGCACCCCTGCCAGCACCAGGAGGATCACAAATGTCTGAGGAATAACGGGGGGAAAAGAGAAGTTTGGTTTTTGTGCTTGCGCTATAATACAGGGACCAGACTGAAAAAGCATCCTGTGCTTTCCAACCAGGAAGAAACAGTCCTTGTGACCATTGCCATAAACTACGTATCAAGGCATGAGATTGCAGACACAATTACGAATCAAATTTATGACGATATCTTTCAGTAACTGCTTTAATTGAGACTTAACTTTCCATTAGGTGGGGATGCATTGGTTATGACATAACCAGCCAGAAAGTCCACCACCCTTTTGATTTCAGAAAAGGAAACTAAATAAGTGTTAAGAAAAAAAGGAGCAAACAAATATAAACTTTTGAGATGGCAGGGAAAACATTTAGAGACAGTTTGGAGGCTCAGACTAGATACACATTACTCATTACAAAGAACGTTATTAAGACCTAAGAAAGTGTACCTGAACAGGATGAAGACAGTTCACTATTCTTTAAAATTACTTTTCAGCTTTTTTTTTTTTTTTTAGCGACTTATCTCTTTATCAATATTACTTTTTTTTTTTTTTTTTTTTTTTTTTTAACCTCACAACCTCACAACTAAGAATTTTACCATGTCTGCTTCCAGGGTTTATTTTGGTCCTCCAAAAACACTGGTGGCTCTGCACCTCAGGGTTAGGCGACGGGGCTGCAGGGAGCTCCCTCCTTCTGCTCAAGCACCACTCCACAAACCTCTCTGTCCTGGTTTCAGTTAGGACAGAGTTAATTTTCTTTCTAGTAGCTGGTGAATGCTATGTGGTGCTTAGCTGCCAGCCGGGTTAAACCACAACACTCTCCCAGTGAGAAGCTGGTTTGCCTCTTTCCTCTAGCTGAAGAGGCTCAAATTAATATCTCCTACATAAATCTTGGGAGAAAAAAGGAAAGACAGGAGTGAGCGATACAAGGAGGATGAAAAATAAGTTTTTCCTGACTAAAGCACAACAAAGTTCTGAGGGGGCAGCCACCTAGTTTCTTATACTTGCTTACAGTTCGCTTTACTTCTTTAAAGGCCATTTAGCAGAGGAAAAAGTGAAACAAACAATCCAATACTCACTGTTGAGATGGCCAGATATGAACAGTATGGAATGTCTCTCTGCTGCAACCACAGTGAAATGAATTGAGCAGCTCTGCTTGACTGCAACTTCACGATTGCCACCTTGCGCATTTGTGTACATTCAGATTTTCACTGGGGAAGGTGGTTGTTTCAGAAAGGAGTGAAAGGTCACAAGGAACGGGAAAAATGGAGCAGTTTGAGAGCTTGATTAAAAAAGTTGTCATCTCAAACAACACGAAAAAAATCAAATCAGATGTGGGAATTTTTCCTTGTAGCTTTAGGATTATCTTAAAATATCATGCCTAGCTTTGGAGTTAAAGCAAGAGAATAAAGGAGGTCTCCAGCAGCCTCTTACCTCGTTCAGCCATCTGAATTTGCTACCAGTAAATACAGCTTCATGCTATAGCCAAAATGCAGTTGTCTATTTTTTTAATCACTCTCCTGCCCGCATACACATTCTGTCCCTTCCTAGTCATGATGTGACAACTGACTTACCTTCATTGCATGCAGAACAAACCATCCTCCCTGCAGCAAGGGGAATCATGGCTGGAGAGCAGCAAAGAGCTGTGTGTGAGCTCTGCTCAGTGCATCAGATAACCCCAGCAGGAGCCGATAGCCTAAGCTAACAGCACTTGCAATCATCAAAGGAGGGGGGAAAAAAAACAACGTTATGCTAAACTTGAATGGGATTGCATGCAAAACAGCAGCCTGAGGAGGAGGTACTGCAAGAAAATCAGCATGCTGTCCTCAGCAGAGGAAGAGATGCACTTCAAGTCTCACCAGGCAGAGAGAGGAGAAGCAGCTCCCCTAGTCCCGCTGTACACTGGACCTCTTGGTTATGGGCTTGGTACCAGTGCTGCCTCTGTGCTGTGTGATCCCTGCTTCCAGAGATGCACATGGATGCTTTGAGCTAGCTCTCCAGACATGCAACTGGCTAGGTGCAAAAACAGGAGCTGCAGCATCTGGAGGGCTCAAAGAGAGGGCCCTGCCACTCTCCACTGCTGTAAAGCATTGCCTCTTATTAGACAGTGACCAGGCAAAATATGACCACATTTCAACTTCTATTCTTATCTATGCCACACTTTTTTCCAGGGCTCAATGAAGAATGTTACGAAAGTACCGCAGTCAATTATTTTTGGTATAGGAAGACTCTGAACATAACACCCGACATCACTGAGAGCGGCACGTTGCAGTGGTGGCTTGTTTTGTGCTTAGCAGCTTGCTGGGCAATTGTGTACCTCTGCACCATCCGAGGAATTGAAACCACGGGAAAGGTAGGGAAGGGATAGAGAGAGAAGCAAGCAATGCAGGGCGTTATTCTGCACTGTGGATGTTCTTTTCCAGCTACTGAATTTCACTGCTGTGTGCCACTTCAGCACCATTTCAGTGTGCTGCTGGTCCAGCAAGACCACAACAGCAGCACAGATTTGTGCTCACCTCCTTTTCCTTTGCAAATGTTTCTGCCCTAGCAGTCTCCCCTCACAGTATTAAGAGCAATTGTATTTTTAATTAAAGTATTATTTAATACATTATCATTAAATTATTAACTAAAAGAATTAATAATTCTTTTAGTTAATAATTAATAAAGGAATTATTAATTACCAAAGTAATTAATAATTCCTTTAAAGATTTCAGTGCTTATCTGTAGCTGTAGCATCTAATATTATTAGGATGGCGTGTTACAAACAGTTAATGTTCTTGTCAGTAACTTTCTCTTATTTCTCACTTTCCAACTAGGCTATTTATGTAACAGCAATATTTCCTTACCTTGTCCTAACTATATTCCTTATTCATGGACTCACTCTACCAGGAGCCACTGAAGGTCTGGCTTACCTCTTCACCCCTGATGTAAGTATTACCACTACAGTCAGAAACATTCCTTTTTTTCTTTAACACACGAAATACCAAGAGTTCCAGAAATGCTTGGAAAAGCAAAGAGACAACACACAGCATTAACCGCCTACAGGTATTAATCCTCTCCAGAGACTGCAAACCACAGATCAGGATAGCCTGCAACAGGAACACAGGCTTTAAGAGCAACATAAGCCAAGAAGCCCAGAGATCCACTACTTGCCGGCCTGAAAAGGGTCAACAGCAGGAGAAAGCTCAGACATGACACCTCTTTTATCCCTCCCCCTGCAGGCCCAGTGACAAGGGCATCCATCTGAATACTGTCAGAGCTCAGGAAGGACAGCCTGGGTCTTTGCAGGAGAAAAGGACACGCACTTGCATTTTTGCAGGGCTCAGACAGGGCAATGAATACTTCCTCACAGCCGAGTAATCTAACAATACAAGCACCACCACGGTTCTGTGTTCGCACACATCATGTACACACACCTCCAGATGAAAGCCTCCTTGCTACGATCCACTGTCTTAATGCAGAAAGCAGATCTGGAAAACACAGCCAGAGTAGGGCTTGGCATTTTGGCATTTGGTCTCAGCCCAGCTGTCAAGTTTCTCTAGAAGGTAACAGATGTCTTCGGGACTTAGGATCATTACACAGTGAATGTAATGCAAAAACTAGATTTGTCTGCATTCGGTGTAAGAATGACAAAGCCTGAAGGTGCCACAGTGCTGAGGAGGAATGGATCATCAAAGAAGAGCCAGATGGTTTTGTAGACTGAAGTCAGAATCAAAATCTGACTGCAATCAGCCTGCAGTTATCGACTAGCCTGTTTATGGAAGCAGTTCCCAGGGACATCCTTGAAGAGCCAGCTGAAGATGCTTTTGGAGATAGAACTACATTCTTAACTACAAACATGGAAAAACTGATGCAACAGCCTGGTAAGTGATAGCTACCATGCGTGTTGTTATTGCACAGAAGGTTATAATGTAAGACAGAGGGGTTGCTTTGTTAAACTAACACAACTGTTAAGGAAGATTTTGACACTTCAAGAATTGCAAAAAGACAGTAAGAATACAACTACTACATTTTTTTTCTTCTCCTTGCTCACAGCTGTAGTACCAGTATTGCCTTTTCTGTTAGATTATTTAATGTTAATAAGCTAAGTATTTCCACCACTCCCATCAGTAAATATAATAACAAGTGAATTCCCTGCTCCACAGGGGACGTCCCAAAGTGGGTTGTACAGGGGGGAACTGCTCTCCTGTTCCTGTCCTTTTGCAGGAAGCCTGTAATGCTTTAGCAAAGTGAAGTCCTCTCTAGAAGACTGTAATCTCTAAAGGATAAAAAACCTTCTGCCTCAACCATACTTTTTTTTTTTTTTTCCCCTCCATTAACTTTTTTACTGCCTCCACTTATCAAAAGCAGCAGTTTTTTTTTGTTTTGTTTTGTTTTTCCAATTTTGCACTGCAGCAGAAATTATACCTGCTCTGTAATAGCTACCACATCCATTCTCTGGTAACCATTACACATCACTGTTGTTTTAGATAATCTGTGAAAGAAAGCAATACCTAGTGCTAAAAGTCACATCTGAGCTAGTTTTGAATTGAGAAACAGCTAAATTATTATTTATTTATTTATTTTTCAAATATTGTAGGAGTTCATTCACTTTCTAAGTTTGTGGTTTTAGTTCCCATTAGCAGATCTCACAGATAATAACTACATACATATGGATCAACACAGCAGGCTGTGGTTTTATTTTCATGCAGAAATACATAGTTGGCTTTTTGCCATCTAACACTTTCACTCCTTACCTTCTAGAACAAATAATAAGTGTTTCTTTCCATTGACTTTCAGGCATGGAGAAGTCTGATGGTTTACTTTACACCCTCTAAATCCTTGGCTGCCTGGAAAGTGAAGCAAACAATGAAAAAAAAAAAAAAAGATACTGAAGTTATGCTCACAAGCCCTTGAAGGGAAAGCAGCAGCACAGCATCTGGAACAGAGACTTTTGGAAAGGTTCTTGGATGGAGGGAAAAAAAAACAAACCTCACAGCCAGCAGAAAAAGGATCCCATCAAGCCTTTACAGCATTCAGCTTCTGTGGTTATCCATGTCAGCTCAGGAGCACAAATGCTTCCTTTCCAGCTTCTTTCACATCTGAAAGATTTATAGGGATTGTAAATATTTGGAGGTTCTTTGGCAGTGAATGCTTCCTTTCCTCATTACTCAGTGCTCACTTATTAACATTCCGATTTTATATCTTCATCCACGTGTTTCTAGCCTCAGCACACTTTGTCTTCTGAAAACATGCTTACAAAACCTATACGGCATATTACTGAAAACATAAAGTAACTTTTAGGTCCATCATTAGTTGCTTAAATTCAGATAACAACTTTGCTACGATGTGCTTAATCAGAATGGTACTTCTCAACTTATTGCACATGCAGGATTTACAAGGGGCTTTTCTAGGCGATTTCAGTACAGCCCCTCCAAAGCAAAGGTAGGCCTAACAATAACAGCCAGCAATGTTCAGGCACATGTACATTAGTACAATGAGCTGGATGCACTATTTTGCACTTTCCTGTCCACAGTTTCTTTAAACTGTTCAGCAGCTCTGTAACTAACACTTTCCAGTGTTAGTTAACGCGTTGCATCTAGCACAAAACTAAACTACCTCCAACCCCACATACCCTAATCAGGAAGCCAGATTTGTAACAGCTTCATCTATCTGCACTGACTACTGACTTGGCAGCACATAATCAAACTGTCCAGGCCAGATAGCAACACAAATATTTTGTTTCTGCACTGCAACAGCAATATGCTTCAGCATGAGGTCCTACCAGCAAGCACTGGAGGGTTTGGTTAAAATCTTACAAAATATATGTTCAAAATAGTCTGTTTATCCAACCTGAAGCATTTCAGCCAATAATGGTCACACATACCTGCTTGTTACACGATGCTGTACAAGACGTAACACCAGTTCTCCTGCACACTTGTGGAGGAAGTGTCTGCAGCAACAGCATTTGCTGCATCTGTCGAAATTGAGGTGAATGCATTGTTCTCATTCTTCAAGCTCAGACTGGCTTTAGAGAAACCCAAAACATTACTGACTTTTGGGGGCACACTCTCATCCCTACAAGTGACTAGCCCAAACATGCAGACACAACCCAGAAAGCACGTTGTTCACCCTGGATGACTAGGGTGACAATTTGACTGATCTGTGCTCAGAGTGACATAAAGCAAAGTGAAACTCTCAGCAGCCCTGTTATTATTTTCGGGGCAACTGATTTTTAAAATGCTCATTCTTAGCTAATTCTGTTTTCTCTTCCCACTTCTTGATAATGGATGGGAAAGTAATTGACTTTATAAAGTATGAACATAGCGCTACTTAGCCAACTGCAAGAAAAGTTTGTTCAATACATTCAACATTTTCTGCATTAGTGATCTTATCTTTTATTTTTTTTAGACTAATTTCAATATTGAAATTTCTCTCTCCTGATATTTATTTAAAATTGCATACTATTCCTTGTAATTCAAAAATCATGGATTTTCTCAGTTAGCTTCCTCTATCACATCTACCCTTCGTAAATCAAAATCCAGATTTCCCTATATCAATTTCTCCTTTTTTTCTCCTATGTTGTCCTGTTGTTTTTTAATGCTGTTTTCACAGTACTTTGGATTTAAGATGTTCACTATCAAATCAATTTGCTGCAAAGCAATGAAGATTAAGTAATACTTTGTACAGTTTTAGGAAGATAATATTCTTAAACTAAAAGATACCCAGTAAGTGTTTTAACAAAAAGAAATACACTGAGGAAAAATGTAATGCACTGTTCCTATTGTGTGCCTACTGCCTGTCATATAAAAATACATTTCTATTATCCAACAGAAGAGATGTACAATTATTTTAATGAGAATTTTAAAATGAAACAGTTTCTATAATTAGCACATTTCTTTAAATAGACCATATTATGTCTTCAAAAACACCTGCTCTACTGACATACTTTGTACTACTTCCCATTTTTCTTTAGATTGCAACACAACTGACAATTTCACATGTGTGAAACAGGAGACCAGTTATGAGTGAAGTGAGAAAAAAATAATTCGAACTAAACGCATTTATTTATTCTATTTCAGCTGAAAGTTCTGAAAAATCCCCGTGTATGGCTTGATGCAGCCACCCAGATCTTCTTCTCTCTCTCCTTGGCTTTTGGAGGGCTTATTGCATTCTCAAGCTACAACCCCCCAAAGTAAGTAGAGCTGCAGCCTTTAAAAATTGGTTAGATTCTTGCTGCATTTCGTGCAATTTTCTAAAATGTTCAAAACTTGTTCTTTGGTATATTTCTAAGCAATCTTAGCATCTGCCATCTTCCCATTAGGCCAAATTAGATATTTTTTTTTCCTCCTCGGTCAAAAAAAAAAAAAGGAAAAAATCTAAAAAGAGACATTTTCAAAAACAATGTTTGCAGAAATGTGAAAGAATAATAAGTTTTAGAGATCTATTTTACTAGTTACAACAGATTTTTTTTCTTTTGCTCAGCAAATACATTCTGTATAGATTAACAACTTGTACTGTAGGTTAAAATAAATACAGAACTATTTTCTATATCATTGGAGGAGGAGGGAAGGTAAATTTTGCCTATTTAAGCCACATTGTTTGAATTCTATTTCTAGAAATGACTGTGAAAAGGATGCTGTGACAGTAGCAATTGTGAACAGCTTGACATCCCTCTATGCTTCCATCCCAGTCTTTTCTGTTTTGGGGTTTAAAGCAACCACAGGCTATTGGGACTGCTTGGACAGGTGAGAAACTTCCATTTCCAGTGCTATGCTCTGGTTTCAACACCTAAACAGATAATGCATTAATTGAAAACATGCATTTAGAGAATTTATTCTCACTGAAAAGCAAAAGCTGTATGGGGACATGGAAAAATATAAAGCATCAAGGCACTGAAGCAAGAATGATCAGAGGTAGCATTTGTAAGAAGTAAAAAAAAAAAAAAATATAGAAGAATACATTGGAATTAGTGTATATAACAGCACTAATTAATGATCATCTCAGACTGGCATTAGAAGTAGTTAAAAACCACCTTTCTGTATTCCACAGGATTCATTAAGTTATTAAACACAAGTAGTGGAAATGGCTTTGACATATCATAAAATAAAAATAGAAATACATTTTACAATAAAAAAATATATTTTACAGTAATACAAAAAAATACATATTACAATAAAATACATCTGCATGATGTACTCAGAATTTGTATCTGCAAGAAAGAAGAACTAATTAATATTTTCTCCTACTTTATTACTATTATGAGTATTACAATTTTCAATGTTGATTTATATATATTTATATACAGATCCATATTTAGTATTTTCTTTTGCTATAAATAAAAGCACCAAAAGTAAACACAACTTTCTATTAACACCTGAATGCATGTCATAGCATTTCCATACGTTGGCTTCTCTGGCAGGAATATTATCAGTATCATCAATGAATTTGATCTTCCAGAACAAAGCATCATGCGAGAGAACTATACAGACTGGATTACATTCCTGAATTCATCATATCCAGAAAAAATTGCTGGACTCAAACTGAAAAGCTGTGACCTTCAAGAATTTCTTGATCAGGTACTATAATTGTGTCCAACAAAATAACCCTTAAAAATTTTAGAAGGACTTGTATTTTTCTTTTTCTTACAAGTACTTGTACTTTACTTGTAATGAATATATGCTATCTAATCATGAAAAAAAAAATTGAAATGTCAAATATCAACACTGCTGTAGGACAACGTGAATTCAAAGCTGTCTGGCATAGCATTCAAAATAATATATTGTTATCCCAGAACTAGTCTTCAAAGGTTCTCCTACTTGAAGCATACTCAATGGACACTGAATTCAGTTCTGCTTTAGGTGAGGTGAGGGGAATAAGCAGAACAGAGGAAATATCTAGCTGAAAGATTATAGCAAAAGGATGCTGAATGGGAATTTGCTAAATCCATATTTGGCAATTAAGGTATCAAAACTCTATTAAAATACACATACACTGTTTGCTTTTGATCACATATATGACCACCAGGAAGATATCTTACCAGTCTTCTGTCTTCTTTTCCAAATTCCTATTCCCTCCTGCATTCTCCCCTTTAGTTTTCCGCTCTCTACACAGGATCTCAAGGTGTTTTTATTCAGTTTTGTTTTAAATACACAATAACAAAAATACATCATGATCCTCTCCTCTCCCTTCTCAACCATCCTAAAACTCTCCCTCTGTCACTAAAATGGTTTCTTCTGTTTTCTTCTCTAGTCTCATTCCACTTGTTCCAGTCATCCCATGCAGTGCTGTAGCTATCATTTACATTTGCGTTCTCTTGTTACAAATCCTTACCAAAGATCAGGGCTGTTTGGAGGACAGAGTAAGACAGGAGCTTGAGGAGAAAAAAATCTTAGGACAACAGCATGCACATGTGTTGGAGTATGTTAATTCACAACATCCTTAACACACAATTATGGTGAAATAGTATATTTTACTTATGGAGAAGTCATGGCAATGGTGGATTTTTTTGTATTCATAAATTTTTCAACTTTTTCACTGCTAGAGCAGCAATAATAGATTTGCATCTTTTTTATTTCCAGCAGCTATTACACCATAGATTTTTAAAAAAATTATTTAAGATGGCCTTAGCAAAACGATTGCTGTTTCAGTGAATACTCACAGATCTGTTTCTCTTCTCTGAACCCACCTCTGAAGTTCTGCTCTATGATTCTCTATTCATCTCTGATAGACCATTTAAAATTAAAATGGAGCTCTTCGTTTCCACCCCCACAAACACTCCCCATAACCGATACCCTCAAGTGTTGACTGTCACATACATAGCTCCCCCAACCTGACCAGCATCCTTGATTCCAAGGAAGGATACGATATAAGAGGTGACAAAGTTAAAAAAATCTTCACCATTCCCACTGATTTTACACCACTTTTTGATTGTCAAATACGGTATTTTTATATAGTCTGGTATAAATGTACTTTTCTATTTATTTATTTATTTCTGGCCTTGGGGGGCCACCTTCAGAAACACATTTATAAACTGTACAGCTTAATGGGGTATACAGGCTAGAAACATCCTGATTATCTCATTTAGCATGAACCCGAAAAACAGTAGCACTCCCAATTATAAGTCAAAGAGTGATACTTGAACTAGTCCATCTCTCTTGGGAAATCATGCTAACTGAAATTCTGGTCTTGAGGTTCAGAAGGGAAGATACAAAGAATGCATTATAACTCTATGCCTCAAGCTACATTTAGGCCTGTATAATGTGTTTATTTATTTATTTTTTTTATTTGTGAATTCTACAGAGCGTATCAGGATCTGGCCTGGCTTTCATTGTGTTCACCCAAGCCATCATCCTAATGCCAGGCTCACAGGCCTGGGCCATCCTGTTTTTCACGATGTTGTTCAGCTTGGGCCTTTCTTCCATGTTTGGGAACATCGAGGGAGTCTTCACACCTCTCCTAGAGCTTCAGATCATATCTAAGTCAATACCGAAAGAGCTTTTATCTGGTAAGGTATTTGCTTCGCTTTGTTCAAAGGAGGCGGCTTCTGCACAGAGGCACAAATGACCAACTGCTTAATAAATATCATAAAGGGATTAAGAATTTGCAATATTAAGTTAGCTATTGTACAGCGCTGGTAACGGCAGTGGATTGTATTTGCAGAAGATAAGCACACAGATGAGGTAGCAGTTATGGCAGAAGTCACCAGCTGCCAGCATTGTACTGCCCTTGTCATCGTTGTCCTTAGCTTGCAAGAGCTGTTTCAGTCTGAGTGTGCTCATTAAATTGCCAGTTTGCTCCGAGCTGTTGCAAACATCAGGAAGAGCCGTGTCTCCACTGAGGCCTTTGGCACTTAAACAAATCACTTTAAGGCAGTGAATTGCATCAGCCAGTCAGCCCCAACCATTTGTGCATGAACTTACCACGTTGTCGTGGCTGTGCGATAGGTCACTCACCCCTATTTCGTTCAGGGTTGTGCTGCTACCGATTACTTCACATTTATGGTGAACACGCCAGAGCAGATGGTAACATCTCATTTTAAATTCATATGTGGAATATTGCTGTCATTCCTTTATTACAGCCTTCCGGTGGCATCTAAATTACACCCTTCTCATTCTGCAACTTTTCATGTAAAAACAAACCTATTTACAACTCGATGAGGTAACCATTCCATTCAGAGACTGATCTTTTAATTGTGAGCAGACTACCTGCTTGAACCTCAAACAAGTTAAGAACATTTCAAGTCACAGGGGTGCCTTTGGCCACCACACAGGAAAATGGAGTTTGGGAAGTGGTATCAGCTAGCTCCATACAGAAAGAGAGAATAAAAATCACTAGAGTAAGAGCAAAACTAATTTAGAACAAAAATATTCTTACCAAGTTCCATTCTCCAGTTACAAAAATACCTTTTTTTTTTTTTTCCTCCCTTCAGGTATAATATGCCTAGTTTCCTTCCTTATTGCTCTGTGTTTTACATTGAGTTCAGGGAGTTACTGGATTGACATTTTTGACCGCTATGCAGGCTCAGTGCCTCTCCTAGTCATTGCCTTCTTTGAAGTGACTGGGGTTGTGTATGTCTATAAAATTAAAAGGTAAGTTGCAAACGTGGACTTTTTTCTCTTACGAGACATTTCCCTCCCAAACCATGTATGTTACAGAGAGATACGTAATACTAACATTTCTGTAGCACTTATCACTTCTGCGAATGTCCTTACCATTCTTTGCTTTATCTCATATTTGTAAAACAAGAGGGATGCTTTCTGCTTAGCACATCTAGAAGGCAGAATCCTTTCAAATATCTTCTGTCACTGCCATTTTGTTCTGTATATTCTTGCATTTCTTGCTTAGCTTCTCCCCAAGACACTTTATGGTAAGCAACACGCGGTAGGTCTCCCACATTAAAACGTTCAGCCACCTTGTTGAGCATCCCCTCAGACATGAAGATGGATTAAATTCACTCTTCATTTTAAAATCTTTCTTACATACTTTGTAATTGCAAATGACAAGAAACCTCATTTTGACTGAGATTAAACCTATCTTCTCTAATCAGGATCCTTCCAGTCCAGTAATTTCCTCAGTTCTCAACAAATAGCAGGTGTTTTGTTTATTCTTTTTTCTTTTTCTCTCTGCTGTTTTCTCTGGCACTTGTTGGGACTTCACCTTTGCCTTTCCAATTTTTGCTCTGGCACTGAGATCATGAAAGTTCTGTTTGTTTTTTTTTTTTTTTTGGGGGGGGTGGATCAGTTTGTATATTGTATAGACAAACTCAATTTTGGTCAATGCTATTGCATATCAAGGTTTTGATATCATTTCAACTTCAGTTTTACCAGAGGCTATGATTTTAAATATAAGAAAAAATCCTCCTTAATTACAGCTAAAGTTCCTGCATTGTTTTCAAGATCCATTGTTAAGATCCTTGGAGCATTTCCCAAGTGACATGGTGCTCACTCCAGCCTACATCGTCATAACCAGTTCCACACATTCCTATGGCTGCACGTGCAGCTGTCCTCAATCTTACACGGTGCAGAAGTAGCAATAAAATCTGGTTTCACACACTGAGTTTCACAGTACCTGTACTGTACTTTCTCTGTTGTGCTAGTATATGCACACTTTTTCCCTCTTTACTACTACAGGATAGGGGCATAGTTAATTCACGTTTTCCTAAACTCAAAAAAGAATTTATAAAATCTCCAGTTTTAAAAAAACACCACCGTAATTACTATTCAGGATTATGAAACTCCTTCCAAATCGGTTGATACAGATTATCATGTTGTAACAAACTACCAAACCTGGAACGGTGTATTTACTGCCCATTTGGTTTACAAAAGTAAGAGGTGCATATGTAGACATTGACCCAATCTTTTATAACAGCCAATGCACACTGCCAAAGAAGCTGGCTCAGGTTGTAGTAACTTTGTCAACTGATTGATTTATCTGGTGCTGGTTAATTCAGGCTTTTTTCTAACAAACTATGTTTATCCCCTGGACAATTTTGCCTTTTCTTTATAAAAGGTTTGAATAGTTCTAGGGAGCTGCTGTAATAAGTTCATCACTTTTTTGTGCTTGCAAGCCTTAAACTAGGCACTCAGGTAATGTAAACTGACATAGTTACATTTATCTCTGTTAAGAATCAAAGCAGCCCTACTATATTGATATTATTAACACATACAGCAAGTTATTGAAGAGGGGTATGGAATAGAAAAGATTCAGGGAGCTGTACCGTGTGTTTAAAACTTATAAAAAAATACGGAAAAAGTGAAATTGCTACCACTCAGCTCTGACATCTTTACAAACATGCCTCCTCTTTAAAGGTTCAGTGAAGATGTGAAGTGGATGACTGGACGAAAACTAAACCTCTACTGGCAGATCACATGGAGGTTTATTAGCCCTCTGCTCCTGCTAATTGTCTTTGTGGCCTTTGTTACTCTCCAAATACAGAAGCCACCAACCTACACAGCCTGGAACCCTAAACACGTACGTTCCCAAATATTTGCAACACTTTGAACAGAAGTGAACATTACACATTCTTCTCCCCTATCAGATCCTTTAAAATCATTGCTGGCTACTACTTACCTGTGTAATAGTCTGAAGTGATGAAATGCCCAGAGCGAGAAGGCTGCAGCACGCACAGAGATTACGAGGTTACAAATACTAAAACAGCTTTCCTGTTAACAAAGGCCTCTTTCTGAGAAATCCTGTCACCACACTACATGTTTCTTACAGATGTGGGTAATGCAGAGAACTGTTGAAGTAAAATGTCTCACGGAGACCCCACAGCTACACTGGGTTCAGAGGTATAACAGGTGTATGAGCAGAGCTTCAGAGATGCATAACATGTACTGGGGATAAAAATATTTCCCCATGAGACCTACCACATCTCTGGGGGTACTGACGAATACACAACTGTGCTGCTTTCACAGGGACAGAGGCAGTGGTCCAAGAATTGTGTTGGTTAATTCAGTGCCAAGGATGTGTTGATGATGAGAACTTTCAATCTGGATGGTGCTGATTCAATATCAGTTGCAGCTTCTTGCATCCCTCTCAGATAGGCTCTGGGCAGGGGGCTGAAGATAGATTCTGGCCCTAAACTGCACTTAGACTGCAGTCACATTCACAAAATGGCATAAACCTTCATAATATAAATATATGCATAGACTTGAATAAGCTCAGATCTTACCAAGGGAGGGTGCAAGTTAAAAAAAAAATAAAAAATTACAGCTGTGTTTAGACTCATGAGAGGAGTATCCAAAGGACATGGCCACCAAATGCTACTGTAGAGCAAGAATAAAACCTCTACTATCCTTAAAATAATAATAAAATGCATATGGAAATCATAACAAAATATAAGTGCTCCTAACTTTTTTTTTTCTTCATCTCCATAGGAAGATTTCCCTATGAAGGAGGAGAAAGCCTACCCACCTTGGGTACAGGCCATCTGTGTGCTGTTAGCTGTCCTTCCCTGCATATTTGTACCTCTGGTAGCACTCTTCCAGCTGGTCAAAAAAATGTGGAGAAGCAAGGACCCCAGCTTTCTACCACCAGAAGTGTTTTCATGTCAGGAGGTTAACAGAAACTTTTCTCATCCCAAAAAATAAAAAGCCATTGCACCTGCCTGTAAGTAAAGATGATAGTCTTTGTCAGACATGATTAGATGTAGCTCTAAACCATGTTAGGGGAGTGATACATGTAGTTCTGCTTACAGCCACTCATTAGCACTCTATGAACAGTGCTGCTATTTGCTTTATTTTCAACCAATTTCACAATTTTATATTAGTACTGTCCTACCTACATGGTGCCCTGAATCCTACCTACCAACACATACAGTCCCCACAGGTTAATTTTTTCATGTGTTACCAACTTCACATCTCTGTCCAGCCAGACTTTAAACCTGGATAGCCTGCCAGTTATTGCAAGTGTCCTCTGTCTTCCTTCACTTCCCTTGTAAATAAACAGACACTTCCTAAGGATCAGCAACATAAAAATTAAAACCCACGAAACTATATTCTCCATTCAGTGACCATTCCCCACCCCTCCCTGAGATTTGGAATGGGAGCTCGTGAAGACTAAGGACTCTACTTGCTTACTAGACTTTACTTTTTGCAAACCCCTTTATGCATTTAAATAGTAGTTATTTTAGTAGTTACGTCATTATTATGATTTAATAATAATTAACTTAATAATCATAAAATAATTATTGGTAATCTTATGATTATTCTATATTTTCAAGCATTGCAAAGAACAAAAATAAAGCATCAGAAATTAAAAAAAAACCTTACATTAAGAAAACCCGAGTAATTAATTTTGCATGAACATCTTTACATGAAGATACATTTTTATATACATTTACATAAACAGTGGGGTAACAGCATCGGTGGATAGGAGAAGAGCAACTGACATCATCTACCTGGACTTGTGGCAAGTTTTGGTAGCAGTGGGCCACAGGGGTGGCTTCTGTGAGAAGAACATAGGAGCTGCGAGCTCTTGATTGCTTTTGAGGGTTAATTTCTAAAGCAAGCTTTGGAGCATCAGAAAGTTAAATTAGGGGAAAAAACAAGGGAAATTATGCCTCGAATGGACAATTTATTACCTGTTGCACATTAAATTCGAAAGATTCTGGGTTGTAAAGACTTCCATAAAGGATCATCCCAACAAAAACAAATTTGAGCATATGTAAAAGTTAAATTTTCCTTTTAAATATTTTTAATTAAAATCTGCACTAAATATTTGTCTTTGATTACAGATAGTTAGATGTCCATTAAAATCATATATGCAACAGGCCTAGGAATTTGGTCAGAGATCTGTTCCTAACAAAAATCCCACCCAGCTAATACAGGTGCATGCTGAGAAAATAATTAAACTGCATATATTAAAGCTTCTGAAGTCCATAAATCTGTCGCAGGTCACTGTCACGAGACTCACAGACAGTGGGAATTTTGAACTTCCTGACTTCTGGGGAACAGGAAGAAGGAGCTCAGAAGGGAGACTTCATGGGTCACTGGACTCAGCTCTCTGGGACAGGAGCCAGGGACTTTTCAGCTCTAGTAGCTGCAGCTCAGAGCAGGGATATGCACTAGGTAAAGTTATTGTTTTAGCTGAAATAGGCATGTAAAAATCCATTAAGGAACTCCTGCAGGAACACTGTTTTCCTGTTCTTGGAGCACTTCTGACGTGACCTCTACCAAAATTCCTGTGACAGAACTACAGTCTTCCCCTTCCTGTTCTTACAAAGGGGGCAGCATCTTAAGGGCACTTTTTTCCTCTGGCATACCACGACAGACTTTGTTACTTGAGTAAGCAAGTGCATGCAAACATGAAACTGTACCTGTTTCAAAGTCTTACACCCTAAGCACTTTCTACTTGTGCTCACTCTCCTCCCAATCTTACATCTTCATAACCCATCAGAGCTTCTCTGCCATAACACTGAACTGTCAAATTAAACTGTCCTGACAGACAAGTTTTTTCTTCCAAGCTAGAATTCCCTTGGCTGTGAGTACAGCCTGAATTCTTCAAGACAAGTTTGTAAGGGACACGGTAACAGAAATTGCAAGGTTCAGCCTTAAGCAGAGTCCATAGCCTTAAGGCTATATTTGTATAATACATACCTCAAGTATTTATTACCCGAAAAAAGCATCAGAAGGTGAATTTCAAGAGCACTAGAAATGAGAAAGCATCCAAATTAACCTAAAATTGATAGGAGGAGAATTCAGAGAGAATAGCATATTCCTTCTGGGATACTAGCGTTCCCCACATTGCAAAATTTCATACCTACCTCAAATTGAAATTCGTAGTCCATAATCCTCTCGCAGTAGGAAGCAGAGGGAAGGAAGATACATTGGATGGAAGAACGAGGGGTTTATGTAAAAAAAAAAAAATAAAAAAAATTATTCTTCCTCCCCAAAGTGGCTGAAAAAGCCTCCGGCAACCTGACTCAGAGCACAGGTTGCACAATGCAGTTACACTGGGCACTTTAGCTCTTAATCTCTCTACTTACCTTTTCCTAAATATTGAAAAAATCTCATCCTTTCTCCCACTCTTCAAGTCTTCTGACTTTTCCCCAGCCTTCCAATGACTGTTGAAAATTCACATCACAGGTTCAGAACGCTCCTCACCAAGTGCTTTTAATACTTCCAGGCTCAAGTTACTTCAAGTTACTCAATCCATCAAAATGTTTCCTGTCAGCAGTTGCTGTTTAACATACTAACTTGCTACCAATCAATTAGAAAATATTTTACCATCATAATATATTGCACTATTTCTGTTAAAACTGTTCATTACAGAAGCAGCTCTATGGAATATTTCTACCCTTCATGCAGTAGAGACCATTCATTTTAGCAATAACATAGATTTAATGTTCTCTGTTATATTTATTCCTTAAATATGTGCTCACAAGTATTTTTTTCCCCACTTGTCCTTGTAGCAGCAAGGACGTTTCCAGTACGGACTGCCATCTTTTCTTCAACTTTCCAGATTTACCATGTACTAAATACATACTAGTTTCAGCATTGATTTCCATTGCCTTCTTAACTGGACAACATTTTAAAATGAAATAGTGATTTCTAAGTAGTATTTGCAGCTGTTTACAGCCTTCAGAAACATCACCTACTGCTTAAAAATGATGACTTAGCGTGTATTTACAGGGGAAGGCAAACATTGGCTCAGAAATTTGCAAGCATTACCCTTTACAGATTTCTTTACGAATTATCATAATAAAATGGCTCTCATTATAACATTGCAAATTCAACATGCAAGCCTGGAGGAGAAAAAAAAACAAACAAAAAACACACGTGCGGGCTTGAGAGAGCAGTCACTGGGCAAAAGTCAGCCCTGCACAACACACCAAAATCAGGGCTAGACAGTACTTCAGTAGCATTATGGAGTGAAAGATAAGCCTAAATAAAGAACAGGAAATACAAATATACTGAGCAAATTACTCTTCTATTATCTAATCAATAACTCTGACTCCTCTTGGTTTTGTAGTTATAAATTCATCACTGCATTAAAATATCAGCAAGCTCTCAAAATAGATTACATATTATACGTAACCAGATTAGATGTAGAAATTTTGGAATGTACTTGTTGTGCTCTCCAAAGCCTAAAGTCTCTAATCTGTACATCTTGCTAGGCACTGCCATAAAATGCACTTGCCCTGTGCCAATAAGTATCTTTCAGGACACAGAACCGGGAGGAGGAACAAGGTTGGATATGTTGAAGATTACTACAAAATAAAGGTACTGGAGACAAGCATGAATTTTGCAACTACCCAGACAGTTTATTATAAAATAGTCTGCAACACAGCAGCAAAAAACAGTTCTTCAGGAACAATACTCAATAAACAAAGTCAATCTGTTTTTACAGACAACTTAAAGATATCTTCATCAAAAAGATGGAAATTACTGAAGGAAACCAAGACGCATTCACAGGCTGTACTTCAACCAGCCTATGAGCTTACAGGAAAACCCAAACACAAAAGAAATTAGCAAAATAATCTACTCTTTTAAAGCTGTTGTCTGGTATCTGAGAAAAACACAGTTTCCCAGTAAACTTGCTTTCAGTCCACTCTACCAAAATAAACTACAGAAAAGTCATCTAAAAACACAGCATTTATTTTTAAACCTGGAAGGATTATGAAATAAACCTTTATCAGTCCAGGATAGATTTGAAATCTTTACAAATAGATGGTTCTGTCACTGTCTTCAGTAGTGCCTTAGTATCCTTTGGGATCTTCCGGAATAGCTGCATCATACCTATAAGAAGGTCAGAAATAATACATTACTAATGCAGGTAACTACAGGTTTTTCTTAGGCAAAATGCTAGTAAGTCATGAAATGAATACGAACTCAATCCAATAGAAAAGTTGGAATACAAGGATAAAAAGGCCATAGTAAGATGTGCTCTTCTTCTTCTGCCCTTAAACAAGGCAGATAACTGCTAGTAAATAAAAAGGTTAAAAATCATTCATTAAAACATTAACATACTATGGAAAACCAAGGAGTAAATTCCTCCTATTATGTCATTAGAACACTTGCTTGTATCTAATTTTATTTTATTTTTTTTTGAAAAGTACAAGACCAATTACTCAACAACTATATCCACCAAAAATATCTTTCATCAAAGAAGTGTTAGTCTGAAAGACCCTATTTTAAACAATGCTCATGACAAAGGACAGGTCATTATCTAGCTGTTAATGTGTATCTACATGAGGAAGGTATTCCCAAACTGTTGTTTGTTTGTTTTTTTTCCCCCCTCTACCTTCAGATACAGCATGAAAGTAGCCTATGTTTTGAGCTAACATATATAAAAAGAGGAAAAAAAACAAATAAAATCATGGAGAAAGCACCTGTTCCTCTAACAGTGACCAGAGATTCTCCCCCTATATTCCCTCATAAGACCAGATATGTTAACTGGGAAGCTGCACTTAAGGTGGAAGATTTTGGAGACTAAACAAGGCTTTTAAATCAGGAATAAATTTTTTACAACAGTACATAACAGTTTTGAAATAGAGAAGATCATTGAAGTCTACAGTCAATAGAAGTAAAGACAATAAAAAAAGACTTTTTAAAGATTAGAAAGAACATACAAAATCCTAGCAACCTAGCAATCCTGGTTTAGGTCCGTTACCTAAACGGTTGGTGAAATTGTCAATGGTGCAGAAAGGCAGAAGTGCTCAATAAACATTTGCTCTGTATTTAGAAAGGAGATAGATTACGTATTCCTATCTTATCATGAAAAGAAAAGACTCTTGCTCCTTTCCCAACTGGTAATAATAGGAGGGATGTTAAACAGTAACTATGTTTTAAGTGCTTAACTCTGAAGAATGACGACAACTTGTACTGATAAGTCACTGATGTTGATATTTAACAGGTTTTGGAACCCGGGGAAAAACCTCCTCCCAAAAACCCGTAAGCTCAATATTGATTGCCAAGGAGAATAATGGAAATGCATGTGCAGGGACACAAGTAAAAAATTAAGTGTATACTAATTTCCATCAATTGACATGGTCTCACAGGTGCCGTATGTTTTATAAGGCTGATACAACTCCAAAAATGACATCAAAATGTGTAGTTGTTCAGTCAGCACAGGTGCTATTACCAGCCTTAGTTATCTCCGTGCTGCAGCTATGTGCCAAACAGAGATACTGAACTAGCTTCACCTTAGAGGAAGGCACCTGAGAACCAGTGACTGTGCTGTCACGGCTCCTCTGAAATCCACACATGCTGTCTGCTTTCCAGAAGTAAGACAAACTTTAAAACACGGTGTTTAAAATTAGCTCTAGTATTTCTATACTATGCTTAGCTCCAAATGTCTTTACAGCCTGGTGTTCTGATCACAATAACAACGTTACACAGAAATAAATCTGATGTAGGCAAAACAAAACTAACCTGTGAGACTGGAGCAGAAAGCTACCCATCAATGTCTTTTCAAGTGGATTTTGAGTGGGTTCCAGGACATTCAGTATCTTAATAAACTCATTTGGAAAAGTATAGAAATATAAACAACATGTACACTCAGGTGAGTGAAAAATAAGCCTTTAACCTATGATCAGAGTTCTCAGAGACAAAGAGATAAAGATGTACATTCACATCAAGATTAAGCTATGCCTTATCACCACAGATCACAAGGCATCTTTGTACACCTTTGCAGTACCAACACGCTGATGCCTCACCCTCCCTACTACTCATCATCGGGTGCCTTCTCAATTATTTAAAAAAAAAAAAAAAGTTTGAAACCTCAACCAGCTCTTCAAGGATGGGAGAAGGAAGGTGGGAAGCAAATAAATACCTGGTCAAAGCACCACTCAATTTGCAGTCACTGGTACGGAAGTATTCAAGCTGCATGACAAGCTGACCCCCAAACAGCAGCCCTCCTGCCCAGTTACGCAGTAGCATTTCTGAGGGCTTTTCATATAAACAGCAACTACAGACGTGTTTCACCAAGCAGTGTACGAACCCTTGCTGCTTAGAAGGTGGAACAGGGCTACTGGAAGAACAGGCAAGACCCCAGGGGGCTATAAGCAAAGGGAGACTCCTCAGAGCTGGCAGACAAGTTACCTGGGCCCCAGTGATCTGCTGACTGATCACAGCAAGTTTCCATCTTACAAGGTTCATAGTAAAACCAGCTCACAACCCACTATCTGTTTAGGTAGCTATTTGGAAAAAATCTCTGAACCCTTTCAGCACAGTCTTTCAGCAGCATACTTAAAGTCTGATATTTCCAAAAGAAACTGTGCCTTGTAGATACAGAGTTGTTTTGACACTAAGGATGTGAAAAACAGGTTCAGCCTTGGAGAATGTCAGATTTATGGAAGAAAAGGTGGAAATTACTCTTAGGAATGCCACCCCTAACTTTCCACTTGCCTTTGAACCTTTCCTGCTCCGCCTCCACAACACTCAGCAAGTACATTAAATAGCTCTCTCCAGGAATTTAAGAAACAAGGTCATTCAATTTCTGCAAGGGCAACTCTCACTGCCAGAGGAGTGATGGTGATAGATGGTGAGCTTTCCCTTCTTAGGTTAGAACTGCTCGAAACAGAGTGCAGAGGAGACATCGATAGCTGCCAGGAACATGCCAGGTACAGTCCCAGCCATCAGCTTGTTTCCTGTGAACGTTCCAGTTTCTTCTTTGTCACATTGTTCCACCAAAACCAAGCCTGTGTGCATTCAGGCTTCCCCACAGGTCTTTGATACAGGAAGGAAATGCCCAAGCAATGTCTTAGAGTGAGAATTATAGTCAGTACTGAGGTGGTCTGGAGCAGTGGCTGTACCTGCAGTACTGACTGCTTCACAAAAAGCTTCTGATGTTCACTTTTAATATCTTAGAATTGAAAGTTGCATTATTTCTGTGGCTCACCTGGGTACAGGCTACAGAACTAGTAAAGGAGATGGAGTTGCTCAGAGGCCAGGCACAGAGACGACTTCTTTCACCATGTAAAAGGGTCAGAGATTTGCCAGCACTGTGACCATGTGACAGAGCACAGCAAGTGCTTCTGTTTTAAAGCATCCCCAGTGACCTTTTTAGGGGTAAGAGTTTACATCATGAGAGTAAATTTTGTTGGAGTTAATCTACATTTAAAAAAATAAATAAATAAATCTGAACCTTTGTATTTCATTTAATTAAGCCTGCTGAGAATAAGATCTACCCAGTCGTATTAAGGTTTTTGAACTGTACAAACTCGATGGGCACCAAGTAACAGCAGCTGCCCCTTAAGGCTCTAGAACATCATAACAAAAACATACCAAAATAACTTGCCTATTTAAACGTAATAGATTTCATTAAGATCAGCAAGCTTGTTACTGTGCATTTTAGAACAACATTTCGCTATAAGAAAACTTAAAAATCCTTTAAATCACAAGTTTTAGTACAATTAACCAACCACATTTAAACTGTAAAAGCAACTGCATACTTACAGAACTTCAGGGGCTTCAGCAAGCATTTGTAAACAACTTTGTGGTTTGACAGTTTGACAGTGAAGGCATGATAGCAGAGCCACTCTGCTGCCTCAGAAGGAAACATGCCAGATGCACCTCTGTTACCTAAAGTAAACCCTAGAGACAGAACAGGAAGATACTGAAAATTATGTGTATTCAGAAATATGTCTGACCCTCCCCCTTCTTTCTATAAAAAGAAAGTTTTGTTGTTGTTGTTTGTTTATTTACTAAAAGCCTATGCAGTCAATGAAGTGTGCAGAGGACTAAAAACTTGAAGAATTTAGTATCTTTATAAAGTGGAGTTAAAAAAAAAAGTTTTGTGATCCCTATTATGCACTATATATTTTTCACTATTGATCTTTATCTCAGAATGAAATGACCAGGATACACATTCAAGGCTATTTATTTATCTTTAAAAACAATAAGCCACTTCACTGCAATTAACATATCGTACCTGGATTTTTAGCTTTTAGCATAGAATAGCAGCACGATGCATTCTCAGCGATGACTCTGAGGAAGAAATCAGGATTGTTCCTAACTTTCTGGTTGAATGGAAGTTGAATAACACAGGCATGGAACCTGTTTGCAAAAACAGCCTGTTTAATCACAAGTCATTTCCAATTTCAAATGAAATTATGACCACGTACCTTAGGCACTATACAACATTTAAAAGCAGCAAATGGCCTTTAGCCAAACCAACATTGTTAGCATATGAAACATCTCCTATATACAAATCCCTGGAGTGTCACATGCTTAAGATGTTTGTTTGTAAATTCTGTGCTGAAACAAGAGGTTAAGTCACCTCTTTCAGTAACAGAATTATCTTCTCAACACAATGATTGTCTTATGTGGAGGAAAAGTTAAACTCACATCCTCACCAGTTCCACTACCACAAATCACTCTGCCAGTGAACACACACACAATTTGAGAGAGGAAGGGGAGGAAGGAAAAATAAAAACACCACCACCAAATTCTGTTCTTCATGAAAACAGACTTCCAAATGATTTAGTGTACCACAGATCAGTATACTCACACTTGTCTATTTTGAAATTAATTCTATGGAAATTAATTGTATTGCTCCCTTACCCCTTAGTTTGGGCATATTTTAAAACCGTTGGCCTACATGGAATATTTTGAATAAATACAACACCTTATCTTTTTGGAATTACTCAACAATGTATATACTCAGGTAATTTATTAAATTAACACAGCAAAAGAAATCCTCAAATGCTTAGGATTTGAAGTGTTTACTTGCAAATATTTAAAGGATGAACTGCACTGTGCCACACCGTTAGAATGGCAGATGGTTTTGCAAAGGTATACTAAGGTAAAGACCTTTGTTAGTGTGTCACCATAACAGCAAACAGAATTAACTTTAATCATGTGCTACAGCTTAGAAAATCTTGTATCAGTCAAAACAGAAGTGTTAAAAAGATTTTAAAGTATTACTTCACAAGATAAGCCCTATTACACGTCTTGGACATAATAATGATATGAATGGGGGTAATGCAGACCAAGCTGTCTTTAAGAACAAAACTAAAGTGTCACTTCCTAACAAGTACAAGCCTAGCAAAAGAGCAACATGATGTTTGTGAAGAGAGAAACACCTCTTCTTTTTTTTTTTGTGTGTGGTAAAACAATGAACAATAATTCTTAATGGACTAACTCTTCAGTCACAAATCAGAGGAAACAAGAAACTGACTTTTTCATTGTTTGGCATTCAGAAGCGATAACAGGCTTAAATTCAATCAGAAAACAGTATAAACACAAGCCTATTACCTCCTGTTGTCACCAACAGGGTTGTGTTTAACCAAAAAAAAAAAAAAAATTTAGAGCATAACGATCTCATGGCAACAACATAAGCATCCACCAGAAAGAGTCTAAATAAAGGGATTTAAGCCTGTGAAGCAGGGCACTACTTCACTACTTGATCTTTATGCTACTTTTTAGTCCAGGGATTCTCCTATCTCAGTTGGAGCAGCCACTGAAAAGTTTTTGACACACAGAGATGACTGTTTTCTCCCAACCTGCTTATCAATTGTGATTTCTTTCCCTTCATCCTAGTTCAAAGCATTCATTTCCTCTGCCAGTCAAGAAAAGCTCACAAGAGCCAACAACATTTTTATCAGCTAAGAAGTAATTAAGGCATTATCAACATCTAAGAAACTGCAATTAACTTGTAAGGACAAAACTTCACTTAAGGCAGAGCTATATAGGTCGAAGTTCAGTATGATTTTCACAGATAAGAAGTTCTAAATATAAATTGGTTTATAAGTAATATGGCTTCTTATCATCTTCCTGGGGCAAAACAAACTGTTCTTCTTGAGATCAGCTGTAAATATCCTGGGACACTGAAAACTCATTTAGTGAAATGTCACTTAAACACGCATACAAATATAATCCTCTACCTGAATCTTATATTATGTAAGAACAGTCCTGAGACAAGAATAATGTGACCTACTACTACATTTACCACTGCACATTTTCATGGCATACATTTTGCTAGTCCATAGCTCCTCTATGTGTCAGGAGGGTGTCAAGAAACATTCACAAAACACAGCGACCTACCTGTAAGCCTGAAGTAAAAATATCTTGTAGACGTTAATGAAAACTGTTTTAAGGCTATTGATCTAGAACAGAACAGAAATAGAGCCATGGGAATATTTTTGTGTTACCGTACTATTTGTTCAATAGCAAAAGATGACAGAAATCTAGAGGAAAACATTTTATGCAATACACTTCCATAATGTTTATGATGTACTTAAGCAACAACAGCCTCAGCACAGAGCGCTCAGTTCTGGAAGGTACTGAGACCCCATATGTTAGATGATTCCAAGACTTCCACATTACGTGTATAATCTTTCAAAATCAACTCTTGGGTCAGAACTCAAAGCACTTTAATGGTCTTTATCACTGATGAAAATATTTCCAAACATTCACTTCTATAGTCCCACCTGTAAATCGAGAAACAAGCCATGGCATTTCAGTTTAAGGACTGCAAGCAATTTGTGTTTCATGTTTTTCCCAGCTGTTCTGTTTGAATTGAAGGAAAGACTTGATCTGATAGAAGTACAGGAATAGCTAGAAAAAAAGAGAAAATAATTAGACTCCATAGGCTAACAGACTAAATTAAATTCTGTGAAATGAGGCTCATTTAACTTCTCATCTTACAGAAATTGTCAGGTAATCAATGAGCCAACCGCAAAAGGATGACTATAACAAAATCCAAACTAGAAACAGACTGGACATTGTGGCATTAAGTCTATTATCTAGGGAATTACTTCAGTGAAGAAAAAATTGCCTTGTTATTTAAAATAAAAATCAATTAAGGGTCATGGGTTGTTTGTTAAACTGGTTTGATTTCTAAAAGACGTGGTCTAGCCACACCATTATTACTGACTACAGCAATAACCAGGTAATACTCGGTGATCCAGGAAATACCAGAGTTTAGGCTGGAAGCTGGCTCAGTTTACCTTTGCCCAACAACCTGTGTTCCGCTTACTTATGTTGAGCTTATCAAAACCAAGGAGACCTTTCTAAGAAACAGCTTCAGTATCCTTCCTTTTTGGAAGACTACTGAAGAACTTCACCACTTGGGCAATGAAAAACGTCCTCTTAATTCCTCACTTAAGCATATTCACGGGCTGTTTATATTAAAAACGGTCAACATCATAACAATATTATCATTCAGTTTAAACAGCTCTTTACTACTGTCCATCTTTAAGAAATGTCTAACACCAGCAGTCTGTAAAAATGGTCTATAGAGCTTTTCAGCAGCAAACATTCTCCCATCCTGAGTTTTATGCTGGTTCAGTCAGACTTCCTCGTGTATATACTCAAGGTCGCCAGTTTAAAGACAGGTTACTTCTCTCTTACACTAACATCTGAAATACATCAGAGGAAAAAATGTTCTGGTGCTGAAAGGATTACTTATCCCTCTGGTGTATAAAAATTGGTCACAATCAATCATGTAGTTCATGTAATACTACTATTTTTAGTAAGGTACATAAAATATCAGAAGTCCAGAACACTAAGTGTGCTCGTGCATAATGGTGAAAGAAGCTGAACTGAGGTGATCAAACAGAATTTCTCAGAAACCATGTAGTCACCATACGGTGTATGACTTCTGTCCGCTGGAAAGCTGCATCGCATTCTATGAGGTTACTTTTTACATGCATTCCACCAGGATGGAATGAAGAAAATAACAGGCTGTACAGCAAAATAAAACATTTAGGCTGTTGTATAAGAAACAGAATTGTAAAATTTATTTTGCAGTGAATTCAACTACACTACTCACAACACACTCCCGTATTTCTTGCACTGTGTATAAGACACTGATACTGGAATATACAACTATTTACCTGGAGTAATCGCAGTAAACCTCAAGTGTCTGTGTATCCAATAATAAGCCACACCATGGGATCAAACGACAGTTTGGCAGCTGTTTAAATTCAGAACATTCTGGGATATCGTCAGCAGAAAAATTCACCACTGTCTTTTTGGGGTTTATCAAAAAGCCATACTCAGGAATGCCCATTGCTAGAGTCCTGAAACAAATACAAGCAGTTAGCCTAAGCCCTGACAAAGAAAAAAACAACAAACAAACCCAAAAAAATCTACAAACATATCCCCCCAGCATGATGCAAACAGCCTTGCATGAAAGGACAGGAAGCCAAGAATAAAGAGAAACATGACCAGCTGTGGTGGTTTTACCGTGCTGGGCAGCTAAACCCCACAACCGCTCTCTCACTCCCCCTCCTTTAGATGAGGAGGGGGAGAAGTAAAGCAAAGAACAACTCACGGGTTGAGATAAGGATAATTTAATTAAAGGGAAATAATAATAACAATTAAATAAAGACTACCATGAACTAAACAATTTAACTAAGGGGAAATAAAAAGGGAAAGGGGAAAAGGGAGGGGAAAAGGAAAAATAAAAAGAAGGGAGGAAAACAAACAAACAAAAAAAATGAAAGCTATATGGAAGTGCAGAGGAAAGAAATTACTCTCTACTTCCCACAAATGAGCGATGATTGACCACGGCCTTGAAGCAAGGCCTCAACGCACGCAGCCGGTGTTTGGGAGGAAGACCGACGTTTTCCCAACAAGAGCCCACCCCTCCCCTCTTCTTCCTGTTTCCACCTTTTATTGCTGAGTGTGACACCACATGGTATGGAATATCCCTTTGACTGGTTTAGGTCAGCTGCCCTGGTGATGTTTCTCTCCTCACTTTTTGCCCACCCCCTAGGAGGGTTAGAGAAAGGCCCGATGCTGTGCCACTGCTGCTCAGCAGTAGACACAACACTGGTGTGATAACACTGCTGTTCCAGCTACAAGTACAGAGTACGGCACTGTATGGGCTGCTGCCGGGAAAGTTAACATTCCAGCCAGACCCAGTACACCAGCTCTTTAGGTTAATGAACATAGCTAGAAATATACAAAACTGAAGTTACTGGAGGTAAATAAGTAAATAAAGAGCTTAAGGATATGGGTATAATGGAGAAGAAAAGCTTGTACAGGTTAATGCAAATGAAAAACTTAAGCTGTTAAATATTTGGGACAACCACACTCACAGAAACCATTGACGTTAAAACTACTAGAATAAAGACAGATAAAGAGTTAATTGCTTCTGAAAGTACACAAAACCAAGGAGAATCCAGGTAACTGGAACCTCATCTGATGAAAAAACTTCATCTTTCTCCTCAAGGTTTTGCCCAAGTATCTCTATTGCCAGGAGGCCTGCCGATCACCTGTCATATTTTGGGTCAGCAGTGTCATCTCATGGACAAGCAGCAGTTTGTCTTACTTGGTGATTTATTCATGTGCAGGCTTCATGCTTTTACAAGGGGAGAGGAAGAGACGGACTCTTATTGTTGCGGAGTAGTAGATTTCCCCAGTTCTAACACTACATTAGAAAAACTGCTATTATTTCCTTTGTGGAAGAGAGCTCATAGGACCTGTGAGCAGCTACACGAAGAGGTTCTCTCACAAAAGAGGCTGCTTGTCCAGGGAAAACCAACAAAGTTGCTGCAGGAGCTGACACAGAACAAAGACACTGATAACTTCAAAGGGCAAGGCAGAGAACATCTGCAATGCTAATGTGAGTTGCATTATGTTGAAAAGCTGTTCTAGAGATTAATAGCTTGAGGCATTCCCCGTGTATTAGTTCTATTATTTCCAGGACTGTAGATCCACACATACCTAGAAATTTCCTTTTGTTCTGAAGAGGAACAAAGGACAAATGAAGTGTTCAAAGCACACTGTTTCACTGTTTAATGCTACTAGTGCTTCAAATCGTACTTGATTGATTTCCCCATCGCCTTACAGGTGATCACAAAGCTGCATCCTTCCGACTATGAAAAGCAGGAAGCAACTGACTGCACTGCAGATGCTAAGATTTTCTGAAGTTCCTTCAGTCAGCAGCTAGGTCCAGAATTAAAATCCCAGTAGAAGTCTCCAACCATTTGAACTGCAACAGGTTTTTAGTTAAATCAAAAAAAAAAAAGACCAAAAATATACCTATATGTACAGGCATGTATAAAGGAGATCAATGTGAACGACCCATAAGATGTTAATGCTTATTACTTTAAAGAATGTCATTAATAGCATACCTTAGAAAAGTTCTTGCATGCGTTAAATGTGGTGTAACCAGCAAAAAGTCATCAATGAGACGGATCAGGACTCTGTAATCAAGAAGAAAATGGCATTAAAGTTTTGGATATGTAATCCTTCCAAATCTGTCGTACTCTTCAGAGAAATTATTTGCCCATTTTAATTAATACAAACATAGAGGTTAATATGATTTCCAAAAGCAGACCTTATAAAGAAATTCTCAGTTTTGCTCCTTCCCTAAAAAAAAAAAATATATATAAAAAAAAGAAAGCAAATGGGCAAGCTACATGAAACATGACAGGAATTTCCAGCACAGACTGGATGTACTAAGAGCCACACAGGGGCTTCTAACAAGGTGCCTTTACACCATTCCTAAATGCTGTGCTCTTTATAAGTCTCCCACCCACAGATCTAGGAAAACTTTTTTCACCTCTTTCCTTTCCAATCTTATGAATAAACACAAAAATTCCCACACAAAACAGCAGCAATTACACTGAAGCAGCACAGATCTTTATGTGCACCACACTCCTGATGGAACCGGAAATCCTTGAAATTCAAAATTAAACTTGAGAGAAAATGTGTAGCATATATACACACTGTACATTATGCACTACTGTAACAGAGCATACAAAGAGCATCCACATCTTCCTACCCATCCTTCTGTACCCCACTGAATAATTTGTTTTCCATGTCTCCATAGCACAAGCTGCAAAGCAAGGTTGACAAAAGGGAGCCCTGTGGAATTCCAGAGCACTGTAAGTAGTAACTACAAAAGAATAAAAGAAAAAAAAAAAAAAGGAATCAGAACACGCAACAAAAAGATTTCAATAGCCATTAAACATTATTTTTTTCAAGTATAACATATATTTCAATAATAAATATGCTGAAAGCTTGTTAGTTAACCTGACCTAATTTTTTTTTTTCTTTCCTCTAAGAATCTAGATATGGCTCTGAAAGTTAAGTTTAGCAGTAGGAAAACAAACAAAAAACAACTAAAGCACATTTTTCTTTCTTATTAACAAAGTCCAGTAGACAATTGTCATTAAATGAAAGGAATTTACAACTGATCTCAAACCACAAATCCTTTTCTCCTTTATAAAAAGAAGCTGCGGTGCCACACCTCATCTAAGCTTTTTAACTCTTTTTGTCATTTATTTCATAGCTTCAAAACAAGCATTCTTGTTGTGTACTTTACTTTTCTTGTACAAATCTTTCAAACTATATTTTTAATTATTATCCAAACAGCTCTTAGTAAGTACTCACTAAAAATCCACAGACTGAAGCTCAATGTACACCTACAACAGGAATTAAATTCTGGTAGATTTTGATATGGAGAAGTTCTAGCTTTTCTTACAAGCAATAGACATCTCAATTGAATTTAAAAATAAATGTTTATCACTATCAAAGCCTGCTAAGTTTTCTTTAAAAAGTTCTTTCAGACACAGAAGACAGAATAAGAATGTTTAAACTATATGATATAATTAAAGTCAGGCTGTTTGAGGTGCTTATTCTTGACTTATACCAGCATAGCATGATCTGGCCATGGAAAAGATTCTTTGTGTGTGTGTGTATACATGTATATATGTGTTGTATTTTATAAATAAATCTCTTTACTTTTAAGAAAATTCCTGATGGTTTAGCCCAATAAAGCATATGAACTGGTTACCTGCATCCCAGCTAGTTTTTTGACCTTTACTGTAAACCACATTTATCTCCTCATTTAACTTGTCAGGCAGTTAATGCTAGAAGAGTTAACGCTAGAAAAATTTACAAATGCTCTTCTATTTGCATCCTTGAAACCTTTTTTTCCCCTTTCCCTCTATCCTGAGAGTTTAAATATTCTAAAGTTTGTCTTTCAAAAGGAAGAAGCTATTCATCCTAATATATCTCACTCTGAGTTTAGAAATAAAAATATTAGTACTTGGTTTCAAGACTTGGTACACATTTGCCACCTAGAGGCAAAATGTAAATAGCAGATCAGCATTTCTAGGAACACAAGAAACCTGCATTACATCCCCCCTCTGTAATAACACCCAACTCCTAATTTTGGAGTTGCCAGATGTTTTAATTCTTGTCGTTCTTACTTTGTATTTTTATTGCAACTTGCCAAATAGCAAGGCCATGCAGAAAAGGTTTTATTTTGCACTACAGGGAAAGGACTAACAATGCTTTTGCATGATTGCTTGGATGTTCCCTTCCTTCTGGTCACCTCTGTGGATCTCAACTTTTTTTTAAAAGTATTTTTCTTTTGAACTATATCTGCAGATTTAAATGAAGGTTATGGATCAACAGAATGACGCATTCTTTGTATAATAACATCATCCACGTGGGAAAGACGAATTTTATTCAAATATAAGTGAGTCCAAACCCTTCCTGCTTTTATAAAGCTTAAATTAAATTGATAAATAGATTTCAAATTAACACGAAATAAAAATCTTTAAAAGACAGCTATTAAAAATTCCCTGACTCAGTTAAAAGTATCCCATTTAGCAGAAAAACAACAACAACGCTTACTCTTTAAACTATTTTTTTCTTACCTGCGCTCAATTTCCAGGATGTTATTATTTAGCATTTGAAGAAAAAAATTAAATAGACTGGCACTTGTCTCATTGAAAGTTAGGCTCTAGAAATGGGACAAAACAAAACAAGATTTGTACTTTAGAAATGTGCTGAAACTAAAAATATAGTATAAACTGAAAAGATACATATTAACCTTCCTGAAAAGTTAGGCTGTAATAGTCTAGTTAAAATCTCTAGGGTAAGAAACAAAGCAAACGCCTAAAATAAAAATCTAAATATACACCCTAAAAAGCCACTCACATCCAATAGATGAACAATGGAGGTTTTAGTTGGTTTTCTTTAGGAGAAAAGCGGTTTTGATTGGTGTTACTTGGGAAGTAGTCGAATATAACATCTAAAACACTTTTTAAAGTGTTTATTATTGTACTGTATTACAGCAATATATACCTCCCTCTTTTAGTCACTTCCTATCCAGAGGATCAAAAGAACTGCCCTGTTCTTTTTGATTCCACAACTACTGATAAACTCACTTGCCAGTTCTGCTGCAAAATAAATCCTTTGCCCAACATTAGCAGTGATCCATGCATGACAGCCAACTCAGTATTTATGAAGCCTTCTGTGTTAAAAACACGTAGTAAAAGCTTCATTTAGAGCACTTTAACAATGATTTAGATCCCTTTAACAATGATTGCACAAGAGCTAAAGCAAAACAACTCCCTATGTGCACAGATTAATCATCTGACAAATGCACCCAGTTTTTGAAAGTTATGTGAGAACACGGTATTGAAATGCTATCACAATGTATTCAGGGCATGGAGATCCATGCTGGCATGGCACTTTTCTCTTAACACTTTTTTATTTTTTAAATCTCACACACACATATGAAAAAGACAGCTGCTGTTCATTTAATACCTAACATCTAATTTAGATGTCCACTGGAAGGAGAACGAAACAAAATACACATCATGCATACAGCTGGTTTTCATTTTCATCCACGTACTCATTAGGCTCTCTATTTTGCAGGATCTTGAAAATGTGCACCACTCACACTGTACACTCTAGCCCTACATAGATTGTACACTACCATTTTACTTGTATGTTAGAAGCATTAATTACTCTACTTCATAATTCTCCACTGGCAAGTGAGGAAAAATTTGACAGAGTAGCCTGTGAGGAAGAAAACAGTCTACTCATCTAGGGCTCAGGATGAGCCCCTTATTTTAAAGAGGCTCTTTAAAATAAGCTGATTTTTTAAAGTCATTTTTCTGTTAAGTGAAGTTTGCTATTTAGGGTGCCATATCTATTCCCTTAGTTGCTTAGCTTAGAATACACTTTTCAGTTTATTTCTGTACATTTTGGACAATGCATGCACTGAAGCCTTTCTTTACTTCATTTGAAAACTCTTGCAACAAGAAATGAAATTCAATAGGAAAGAAAAAAAAAAAGAAAACGATGGTTTACATAGAACAGAATAGGACAGAAATGAGAAAATCCGGGAGAAGTCCAGAATGACATTTTGTCAGGGTTCTTGCCTCAGGCATCACTTACACTGAAAGCCTGTTGGAAACATCAAGTTTTTCTATGGAGAGTGCTTGGTAACTACAAGACAGGTCATGTCACCACATAATATGTACATTCATTTAAACAAGCAAACAAAAAGAAACCCTAAATGCTCCTCTGCTACTCCTGTAGCTTTCCCTTTCAGATGAACAGAAGCCTCCTAATCTTTACCTGTTCAACTATTATTGCATCTCGCAATGAGGTACTCTCATGAAGCCGGGACACAAACTGCTTCATGTCTGGCATAAAATCCTTGAAAGTAGAAACCTGTATATTAAATAAATAAATGACAAAAGCAAAATAGAAGACTCATTAGCAGACAGAATGTATTCAGTGAAGATCAAAGACCCCCCTCTTATTGCATTGTTTTAATCTAACAGATCTGTTATTGTTAAAACAAAATTTCTCCCTCGTGTCCCTCTGTTCCCACAACACATTTTCCTTTATTTATTCTTAGTAACACTGAAGCATAAAAAGCAGTTTTATTCCCTCCAGAAAATTTCCAACAGTATTAAAATGTTTTATGAAGTAATTACCTATTTCAAGTTTAGACACACACACACACAAAAAGCTATAAACAAACATATTCTTTGGACAGAAACATATTAACAGCAGCATGTAGAAGAAAGTAACAAGTCATACATGTCTCTTATATAACTTCCTGGTTTTTCCACTTCCAGTGATCATAACCACTGCATAGCGCCGTATGCAGTAGACAGTTTTTTTCTCGGGTTTTAAGACCTGTGAAATCACTTCCACAAGTTTATTGTGAGGAATGCTATCAAAAGCCCTGGACACATCAGCCTGAAACAGAAGAAATAGCTTCCATTATGCTCCATATTTGATGTTCCATATTCACCAATATCACCATAAATGCTGTGGTAGTATGGAAAAAAAAAAGTTACTGTTATAGTATACAACCATGGCTGAAGCAACATGTAGGAGTGAAATTACATCATTATTTCCAAATGTGTGACAAAGCAAACACATTGCTTAACTGAAGATACTTTCCTCAGCCATCAGTGAGTTTTCCCTTGCAATGGATAACCATCAGTTTCAGAATAATCCTTGTTATTAGCAGAAGGTAGAGCAGGTCCTACGCTCATCTGTACTGCGTAGCACTTTTTTCGTGATTAAATACCAGTGGAGATGAAAGGTAACATACTGAAAGTTGCACACACAGCCCTAAAACTTACAATCATTTAACTGAAGATTACTGCTAACATTTTTATATGTTTAGATATTTTATGAAACTTTCCTCTCCATACAATCGTGAAGATAACATCTTATAGGCTCCTGGAAAGCTGAAAACCTAGATGTTTTTCCTCTTCTAAATCTCATATTGCAATCTTAACTTTGCTCTTTCTTGTCATTGTCACAATTCAAAACCTTCTGAAGAAGCAAAAAAATGCAAAAGAAATATGTCAATAAGATGATTTTTTCATTTGAAAGTTAATGAGACAATTTCTGAAAATAGTTTTAGGACATGACACCTGGAAGAGAAGCCTCACTATATTATCATAGGTCTGTGTTATAAATGGCTCAGTCTTCAAATTAGGATTATAATCAAAGTTTACAATTTATTAAAGGAATAGAGGTAAGCAAACAGCACTGGGTGCAGCACTACTGCAGGAGAAACAAAGCAAGCAATCTATATTAAGTATGCACAAAAACTGACATAAAAATAATAATAATTATGCACTTACATCACAGCTATTCTCCGTTGTTAAAGATCTGCACTAGTTGACTCATAAAATGAGGTTGAATACTGGATTAGAAAAGGCATACCTTTACATAGTAGAAATGAGGAATTTCACCATCTGATTTGAGAACCTTTTTAACAAACGTCTTCCACGACTTGTAGATATCATCTCTCCCAAACACTGAAGAGCCGATGTAACTGGTGTTTATAGTTCGTTCATAATTTAACACACTAAATAAATTTTTAAGTTGCATGTTGTAGTGATTCATCTACAGAGATGAAAAAGAATCACCCTGAAGTGGGTTGAAAAATTCTAAATTCCATGCAATACAGACTTTTCTCATTTAGATGAAATGAGAGGGAATTTGTGTATTTACTGAACTTTTTTGGTCAAATACAGTCTTCAGAAAGCCTGAATATAGTGGTAGTAACTACTTGGAAGTGACAAAACAGACTTAGGATTTAAAAGTATCCCCCAAAACATCCCTTTTTTTTTTTCTGTACTTAACTCCTGGAAAACAAGGTCTAACAGTCGTGGACATAAATGGATTTCAGCAAATAAAACCACCACCAATTCTAAAGTAACTTTTCTTAATTATCATCCATTCTCTCTCCTGAAGGTTACCACCACCACAACAAGAACATGTGCCTAAGACTTTAAGCTAAATCCGTTTGCATCATCTGTTGAGCCTTTGGAGACAATTTATGTGGGTATTTTAGCAAAAATTTAACTCTCTCAGATATGGGAATAGTGAAATACTAATTTAAGATGAAAAAAAGTAAAAAAAAAAAAAACCTGCGCACTTGCATGCTAATGAATGTTTAGAACATAGAAGTCCTCCAAATTGCATACACAGAATATAAAAGGTTTCTTAATCTCAATGGTAGCATCGTGATCATGACACAAACGCACTGAAATTGCTACATATGGAAGCTTAACAATTCATCTGAAGAAATTTACTTTTGCACTGAAAAAAATCAATTAGAGGTGTCAGTGAAAAGCTGGAAAAGCTAAAGCACAACAAAAATATTTAGTGTGCTCCTGTGTCGTGGTTTAACCCGGCCGGCAGCTAAAGCTAGTTTGGGTCACCTGTCCTGGGTCTGTCCCCTCCCAGCTCTTACTGCACCCCCAGCCTGCCCGTTGGCAGGACAGAGCAAGAAGCTGAGATGTCCTTGGCTTGGTGTAAGCACTGCTCTGCAACAATTAAAACATCGGAGTGTTATCAGCACTCTTCTCATCCTAAGCCAAAACACAGCATTCTACCAGCCACTAGGAAGAAAATTAACTCTGTTCTAACTGAAACCAGAACATCCTGTCACTGACTGCAGAACAACATGATCCAACTTTACTGTTTTGCATAAGGTACGTAGTTATGTTAATTCATTGGCTGATCTTGCTAAATATTTTTGACTAGTCCATTAAAAAAAAAAAAAAAGACAGCTGAAATTTAAGATACGTTCCTGAATCCAGTGATTCTGGATTTCAGTGATTCCTGAAATTTTGTTATCTCTTTTCTGGCATAGGGCGTGTTCCTAAGAAAAAACAGCCAGAACGGTAGAGATGTAGCTCAAAGATAAATATAAGCAGCAAGAACAAATTATCAGGTGAGAAGTTCCTCCCTTCTTTCTTAATGAGCATGTCCCAAATGGTTGCTTTAACACCTTTTCACTAAACTGATGGCCATATGGGTGTGTGGGGGTAAGTCAGTAAAGGACAAATGAGGCTTTAGAGTTCAAAACCTAGCCTGAAGGAGGCCTGAGAGACTTGGAGTCACAGTATTCACAGTGGCCTCTTGCTTTAATATTGGTAGGAATTCCACACAGTCTCGCAACTTCCCAGAACAAATCTAATCCACAGAGCTACCAACATCTTTGCAAAGCCTGAGGGTCTGCTACAATATCTGCAGAATGCAGTAAAAAAAATTACATACTCTCAAACTGAACAGATCACTAAGAATCCTCCCCACACCCAGTGCTTCAGGCTTCCCATTAAATATTTATGTATCTGTGCGTATATATAGAAATACATATATACATACACACAAAGATTCAAACAGAAAGGGAAGAAGGATGAAAAGCCATTACATAAAACCCTTAAACCAAAACAAAATTTACACTGATCTGAGGACAAACTCACAGAACTGGACTTATTTCACCACGTTTTTTTGCAGCCAAGTTTGAGAGCTGCCCAAGAGCCAGAAGTTGATTTGCCGGATATTTGCAGGATTATCTCTTGACAATTCATCTTGACGCATTCCAGTGCCGAGCTATGGAAGCTGGCAAAGTCTATCCCTACAATTCCAGACTGGTTTGCAAATTCCAAAGCCGGGAACACTGTCAGATAGAAAGAACCTGAGGCTGGTCTTCCTCCTACACTTTAAGCGCCTGGAGAAAACTGGAGAGCAGAGAATAGCTGGATATGGGACAGGATGAAAAACTGGAACAGACTGCAAGATAAGAGGCCATGACAGAAACAAACTGTGCAGCCATGAAACTTTTGGAAAAAAAAAAAAGAAACAAACAAACAAAAAAACACACTACTTCCAGTAGGTTGTAAGCCCCAAATTGCTGAATATGTTTTGCACAACACACTATTTTTGTGTCTGTCTCTGTCTCAGAAGCGACATAACACTATTACAGCCTTTCTTGGATTTATGAATATCAGAAAATCATTAGCCACGCTTCATGATGTTCTCCTATGAAGCCACTTGGCCACCTACCACGGTTGACTTTTAACTTCCTTTTTTTTTTTTTTTTTTTTTTTTAAAGTGCATTCAGGTCTCGGGTCATCCTTCATGCCAGTTTGTTACAGGAGCAACAGAACCTTTTGCAGCACCACAGCCATTCCTAAATTAACTGTGTGCATGCTCTGAAATCAGACTGTGTGATAGCCACTGAAAGACTATGATGAAAGTAACCACTTCAGAACAGCTTTTAGTTGCTGTCCTGAAAGTACCGTCTGGGATCACATACTGAACTAGGAGTACTAAGTAGCCACTGAACTCTCACCCATCTGAGCAGCGTTTCATCTTGTGCTCTAAATGGGACACAGCCTTAAGGAAAAACAACTAATTAAGTCATGGGAGAGTGTGGAATTGGGCTCCCACTGCATCTTGCAGTTAACTGGCCTGTAGAATGGGTTGTTTTGTGAACAGCCATTGACATGCACAATCAGCATTCAGGGAAACCCCAACAGGCCAGACTCATCTGTCCCTCACCCTTACACGATATCTTTTGAGTTTTCTGTCCTTCTACCCCCACGGATGGCCAACATCCACCACAATCAGACACAGTTAGCAAGCTGAGAGATACAGATGGAAAGAGAAGAGAGAAGACATGCTCACTGTGCAGGCCATGCCACTATGCTAGACTCATCTCCTTACAGCAGGCTTACAAGCAGAAGTATGCAGTTCTGGAGTTGGAGGCTAATAAAAATTAAGCAGTGGGAAAGGAGAAGCTATGCTAAGTTGCAATGGGTAGGCACATTCTGCCCTTCTGATTTCAGCGTCTCAGTTCACCACTAGTTTTATATTAACGACAACACAAAAACCAACTCACATCTAACAAATCCACATAAAACAATCAGAAAAATAAACACCTTCTTTGCTCTGCTTTCCTTGCTCAACGTTTGTGCTTCAACAACACCGCTCATTCTGACGATGGGTCTTAGTCCAGTGACTTTGGGAATGAAACGGAGCTTTGACGCCATAGGAAGGTATTTTTTTTGATGGATCGCTTCCATCTCCTCTGCAGTTAAAGGACGTAGCTTCACTTTGGAAAAATGCTTTCTAAAATACAAATACGCATTGAGTGTAAGCAATAGGAAATGCAATAAAAGTTAAAAAGTTTCATCTCTTAATGGTAACTGAACCCAGGCATTTTACTAAGAAGATAATCACAAGTTTCTAAAGAAACTGCCATGGAAATCTGAATTTCCAAACAGTTCCACGGTTATCTTAATGACAATGTAATATAATAATAGAGTATATATTTCTTCATGAAGAAGATTAAGGTAACAAAAAAATAAACACACCTAAATTAACACAAAGATTTATCCACAAATCAGGCAAGTATATTTGAGTGTTATGATTTTTTTATAATATAAAACTACAGACAGACATTTTATATGGTTTCAAAAGCTTGAAAGATATAAACCAAGTTGAATCGGACTTTTTGAATACTATGTAAAGAGAGACCCATGGCAGGACTTACACAGTGTAATGAGCTGTTCTACTCCTGACATTTAGGAGACCTACTACCTATTAAAAGATATTGAGAACTGAGATACTAGATAAAAAAAAATGAGGGCTTTTAGGTACACGGTAACAGGATTCAAAAGAATTGACCTGATGAGCAGGCATCAGCTAAAGTAACCAGCAGAAAACAATAAAGAACTGAAGACTCCCAAGTCACAAATTTATCTTACTGGGAAATGTGCTTGCCCTTCACAGCCACCCCCTCAGGATTTACAGCTCAGCGTAGCTTAGTCCAAACCAATACTCTCCTCCCATGCAGTAAGGCAGGAAAAGGAGGTGACACAACAACCTTGCTTTTACTTAAGATGGTTAAAGTGCCCTACCTGCCACAAAAAAAGACTTGGATAAGTGTCCTACACTGCTTGCATTGCTCAGAAGGAAAGGATGTGCCATTTCACGAAGCCCTACAGCCCAGTTGTTAGGACACTCCCCTGGGAAGTGAAATGAGAATTCAAATCCCTGAAGGGCAGAGGATGCAACTCTAAATTTGCATTCATATTTTCCATATCTCACATAAGTCCACAGGCTGCTTTAGCAAATGGATGCCATGCTATCACAAAAGATGATGGATGGATGGATGGATGGAGAAAAACTGGTAAGCATGCTCTAGGAGACATCTGAGAAGCCAAGCATGCAGGTGAAGCACACAAATATTTTTCTCTTGTGCATGCCAACACAAGCCACATATAAGCCAGGTGCTCAAGACTGTCGGGGTCCAAGTGATACAGTGCATGCCAAAGGGGACATAGAGGCATCCTGGTCCTGCAAGCTGAGCAAGTGTTTTGGATTTGTATTCAAACTTGAAATAAAATTCCCAAAGTACAGAGAGTACATACGATAGTATTAGCTAGATCACTAAGATAAAATAAACAACACCAGTTCAACAGAAACGACCAAATCAAACCTTCATCCCTTTGCATTTAAGACACCAGAATGAAGAAAAAACAAAACAAAACAAAACACACACCACACCACAAAATCCACCTCTTAAAAATATGATTTCCTCTGAAAGTGAAGATCATGGCCAGTTATTCACAGATCTTAACATTACTGCCTCTGGCCAGTTGTGGAGCTTGATGTCATTTTGCCTTCATCAACACCCACTGCTTATTTCATGGCATTTATGGCAGGGCTGCTGATTTTGAACACGCACTGATGTAGTGGCCACTGAACCATCCCTAGTTCGTCCTCACAGCACTGCTAGGGGTTTATCCTCTGAAGACAATGCAATGCAAAGGCAAACCCATGAGTGAAGTTCTGGTCTGTTTCATCCATCCTCTCTCCTCCAAAGGAGGACAAAAGTAAGTGGGAAGGCATCAGTGGCTACGCCTGGCTTCCTGACAGCAATCTGACCACGAGCATCTCCAGCTGGAGAGAAGGAAGAACCAAGACAGCTGCAGAGCAGTCACCAGGGAAACAACTGAAGCCAGATACTCTTTCCTCCAGGGAAAATGGAAGCAGGTCAACAGCCTGTGCCACTCAATCATCAGAAGCTCCTGAAAATGCTGCTTGGGAATGAGGGGATGGTGCCCAAAGAGTCAAGAAATGGCCAAGGCTACACAGGCAGCCCTGAACAGCTGTTTCCCAGCGTCTCTAAATCCCGAATTTTCTTCTCCCATGTGAAACAGGCAGCTTGCCACCTGTCTGAACGCACTCAGCTGGATCAGTAACCTCATGTTACACAGCACGCTCTGAGAACAGTGCTGAAAGTGCTGGTTCCTGCGCGGTGGAAATACTCAGGGCAGACATAGGAAAAAGCAGGATCAACACAGATTAGGGTCCCTTGTGGTCAGAGCACCTTGTCCTTATGCACTGGGTTTCTTTTTGGGGAGGGGGAGGAAATTGGTGATAGGAAAGAAAGGGCTAAAACCAAAACTACTCGTTTTCTTTTAACCATACACCCCATTAAAAAGAGCATTATACCTAACCCATAAGATTTATTGCTAGGTGGCACTTTACACAAAAAAAATTAGCTTGTAAAGTACATTAAAACTACATAAACTACTCATTACAACACTAATGCTGTTAGTTTGAAGACAAGACAAACAAAGTATTCCAGGTTGAAAACTGTGTTCTGCTGCTGCTGTTTAACTTGCTTATATGGGCTGTAACTGCAAACAGCTCCAGGGCCCCATGAAGTGCAAACACACAGGCAAGGCAGTTGCACGGGAGAGATACCAGCGTCAACCTCAGGGAACATGGAGATTGTAAAAAGCATTAAAAATTACCAAAAAACACAGACAATACTGGAGATCAGACCCCGTCAAATGTAAAAGCTGCACCATTTAAAATGGCAGAACACAAGGCATCAGGTGCGCCCATTTCCAGCAGTTCAAGAGCTCTCCTGGACACCAGCAATTTACCATGAAATCCTGAGGGATGTAAACTCTGGAGATGTACACATAATACTGTTCATTGAAGGTGCCTTTTGATTTTCGTTATTTTTAGTTCAACTGCTTAAGATTTGGTCTTAAATAAGGTGCTAACTTAAGCGCACACACATTTAAGACCAAAAAAAGCAGCATGGAATTCTACAGCTGCACTAAAAAAAAAAAAAGAAGCTGCAGCTTTTAAACCCTTCAATCTTATAGTAATTAAAAAAAAAATCCCCATAAGGCTACTGTCTGAAATAATGGACAGAGTATTGCAGCAGATTTTGTTTTTTTTAATTGAAGCAGTTAAAGAAAATTCAGTGTTTTTTAAATTAGCTTTCCCAAGGTTACTTTGGGATGCTGCCACTATGCTTTACTGACGGTTAAAAGGTGTAAAAATTTGACTTACCAGAACAAAATCCTTCTCATAATGGATTTTATCATTGCAAAGGTCTCTGTTCTCCTACCAAAGACATTCCAATTTGCCTAAGTTTTCTCACACAACATATTTATGGATCTACAAGCCATGCATATTACCAATACAGGTCGATTCTTCCTTTGGAAAATTAAGCAAATGGGAGGAGGATAAAGGGGCAATAAGGAAAAGCAGAGTTGTAACTTTGCAGTGCAAAACATGAGACTTCCATACATTTCATTAAAGTTTGATTAGTTTTCTAATTTTACCTAATTCCAATGTCCTGTAACTTGCCCCAAATACACTTTCGGTAGTAGAAGAGCATGTTTTTCTGGAACATGGTCTCGGTGACATAGAAAAATGATCTGAGCAACTGAACAACATACGTATCCATCAGCCAGTATAGGAATTTAGCCAAAATTTCTTCACGGTAAAGGTGTTCAGAGGCAGGAACAAAGTGATTACCTTCAACAAAAGATTGAAAGGTAGTTATAGCAAATAACTACTTATATTAGTAAATAAATAAATAAATAAATAAAATAAACAGAACACACACACGCTCATTTCTTAGCATGAGGTTAATGGAAAGGAAAAAAAAGCAAGAACAACTCCACAGATGCAGCTCTGATTTTGCACTAGTATTAAATAACATGACCCAAGCTTAATTAATAAAGATGGAAACTAATTAGCAGTGATAAATGGATGCACATAAAACAAATACATGCTACCAGCAGCCTGCAGACTTACTTTCATTGCTTGTGCAAGATCTTTAATGCACAATGTCAGGATCATTTTGAAGGGAAGGATAAAATGGAAATAAAGTCTATTAGAATATATATATGTATTTAATAAATATGCAAAAGAATTAGAATTCTTAGGTATATCGTAAGAATAATTGAGAGGGTTAAACTGGGCTGAGCTGGGGAAAGAGGTATTTTAGACAACCTATATAAAACATTGCTGCAGTCAAAAAAAATCAGAGTAAGTCTGTCAGCTCTCGTAATATTTACATGGCATGAAAATTACGAGGCTAGAACATTTCTAGCTGCTATCAAATTTAAGCCCACAGGCTTTTTTTTGTGATGTCTAAATGCAGGCAGGCCAAGTATAGAGTAAAATTCTACCCTACAAATTCAGAATTTTTGCAACTTCTCACTGATACTTTTCTAATTAAAAGTAGAATTTGGCATAATGCAACAGGATAGTTAAAGAGATTCTGCAGAAACATCAATTAGCTGCACAGCACTAATCATGATTACTGCACAAATGTGTTAAAAACAGCCAAATTTGGACACAAGAGAGCTGAGGATTAAGACTGAAACTTAACAAAGGGAAATAAATTTCCAGTCCTCTACCCTGCTTGATTTTTGTGCTCTTCGGGGCGGAGACACTTTCATGTATATACGGCACCTAAAAAAAAACTGCCACAAAGAGATGAAAGTGTTCACTTCAGCAGAAGCCAGAAAACATCAATGGAGAACTCTATGGCTCTTAGAAGATTCAACTGAAAAGTCATAACGTGCAGGCCACAAAATACACAAATTAAATCAGCATGTTAAATAGCTGTACTGGAACTACATCACCAGCTTTCTGATGTTTTGACAGCAGCTGTCAATTCCCTGAACTGTAGTCATGATTTACAAGAAACTACCACCACTTCTTTTGGAGAGAAAAATGCCTGCAACACAGCAAAGCAATTAAATGTGCATTTAAACTTCAGGCACATGGGAGTAGTTAAAAAAAATAAATAAATAAAGTTAGGCTTATGTGTTGCTTTTCCTGGAACCAGACCACTGAGTAAGATGGTATTAATTTTTTTCAAAGTTAAGGCATTCCAAGTAACTACAAACCCAATGCTTTTTTACTGTAAAAACCCTTTTGAAGTATTTAACTCCTCAGCATTCTGAAAAGCACGTTTCTGAGCCAAAGTTTCCGTGTCTGTGTATTTGGAGAATTAGCAGTTTCTTATAGACGTGTACCTCCCCGACTTCTGACATCAGGTCTCAAATATCAGACTGTATTTTCCTCCTTCATTACGGAGGACCTGGAATAATTTCAGAACCTGACTGAATCTTTCTGAAAAGGAATACCGTTTTCATCCCTGGTTGCTGCAGGATCCGAGTATATTGCTAGGTAGGAATAAATTATGCAAACGTAGCAGTTAAGGAAGTGCACTCCACATTTCACAGATGGAGAACAGAATGTAATAAACGTAAAAAGAAATAAATTACAATATCCATGAGATCCCACAGCAATCAACCGCAGAACCACAGCTTCAGCCCAGAATTACGTCCTAGGACATTGGCTTCAGAAAGGCTTCCTCAGGGAAGCAAAATTTACCTCTCACCACCTGTGATGACTGAACAGGAGGGATTCACACAGAACTCGGGGCAATCAGCTGGCACTCCCACCCTCCTGGGAAGGTGGTCAGCCCTGATGACAGCTGCACCACCACCTGAAAGCTGTGATTAATAAGCGTCTCCTGTTCCCAGAGGAGGGCTCTAGAAAGGTACCTGATGGTTGGCGACCACAGGCATTGCCTAGGTCCCATACCCACGTCTTTTTCACAAGGTAGATGTGAGGGAGAAAAAAAATGCTATGGGATGATGGTTTACTCCCAGAGATACATGTGACTCTACGGGCATCTGGATTTGCTTTTAGCACTTTCTTATCACTTATATTAACGAAAAGGCAGACTGCATTTGCTCCTTAATGCTTAGGTGACAGTTATTGGTAATTTGGGGAGCAGAAGGGAAGGAGTTTTGCTGAAGGTCCTGGTTCTAAATTCTAGTTTCTGTCTGAAACTGTCATCCAATTAAACACAAACGAAAATAATGAAAACTTACGTTTTCAGCACACAGAAGGCAGGTCTAAGTATTCCTCCACCATCAGTTAATGGCAAGCGCTATGAGGTTTGCTCTTGCAGCTCCAGCTATTGGCAGTGAACCCAATGACTCCGCACCCAGGTTCAATACCCTCCTCTCCACACCTTAGACCTGACCATCCACCCGACCCCCCCACCCCTTAATTCTGCAAGGTTAAATACCTTTGGCCAGACGAAGCCACATGCAGTCATTTACTCTCATCTTCCACATCAACACCTGCAAGGAAAGCTTAGCGTACTTCCCCATGGAAATGAACGCTTTCACGTTCTTGAAGAACCGGCGCTTGTTATGGTTTGAACCCCAGAGCTCGGTGGGGATCACCCTCTCCACGCACTCCCTCACAAAGAGGTACACCTGGAAGTGGCTGCAGTGCTCCTTGAGAAGCTCCCTGAGGACTGAATCAGACGCCTCTGCAGGGATCTGCTCCTCACCCCCCGGCTCCCCACACGCAGATGCTGCGAGAGGAGCGCGTACGCTGCTGGGCACGTTGGTGTGACCAGATTCACATCTGCTGCTTGCCACACGCTCAGCAGGCTCCTTCCCAAGCTGTTCTGCTTGCTTGCGAGCCTCTGCTTGCCCAGGCAAAGGTGCCCGACTGAGCAGCTTGGCTTTTCCCAAAATGGTGTCGGATATCCGAAGAGGGCAATTTTGTCTCAAGAAAGCTACGTAAGGGAACTTTCCATGATTCTTTAAGAGTTGTTGAAATATACTTCTCATTCTCCAGAAGCGTTTGGGAAGCTTCTTCTTTCTCCGTTTTTTCTGTGGCAGACCTTGGTTGCACTTTTGCCCAAACGGATTTTGGCTTAAGAATATCGTTTCTATTAGCCGCTTTACACCTGCCTGGCTACCCTTCAGGCGATTCAATAGGAAGGATTTCGGGAAACGCTCCCCCCAGTATCTGCGAGAATACAGAAACTTCCTGTCAATGTATATTGTAGATGGCAAAACCCTATTTGGTACCTCCTCTGCCAGATGAGCTAGGGGACCTTCCTGCTTTTTGTGTCCTGAAGAACTACTTTCCGCCGGTTCGATTGGTACCCAATCCAACCGAGGTATAGGCCTGCGTGTCTCCACTCCCTTCCTGCTGGATCCTGCTTGCATTTCAATGCTGGGCTTTAAATGTCTGTTACTCTCAGCTCCTTGCAGGAAAGAGCTTTTGTCTGCCACAGACTTCTTCCCGCGATGAGAATTGTGAACTAAAGAAGGACGAGACATATCACTGTTACTTCTTTGAGAAATGTTTTTTTCTTTAGTCAGACTTACAGAACGTGATGCTACACAGCCGGTTCCATACCTCTTGGGAATGCTCTGGTTTACATTAGGAGCAGTATTACAAGCCTGTTCCTCCCTCTCTTTCTCTTCTAATCTTGCTCTCTTAGCCGTGACTTCCAGTTGCTCCCTAGCAAGCTTCCTTTTTAAGGACGGTGCTGTAGCTGACAAACCTGCATTGGAGCTACTCTGTTTTTCCAGAGCAGCGGACCCTAGGCTTTGTATATTATTGCTGGTTTTATTTCTCACGCTGGAGACATTAGCTTCAAGTCTTTGCCTGCGTTTCGACTGACGTGACTTTGAAAGATACTGTCTGTGAAACGTTAGCCTTTTCTGCATATACTTAAGCAAGCTACTACGTTTGTGCTTTGAAAGCCGTTGTTTAACAAACTCTGGGGCTGATTCTACATTTTGCGAAATAAGTTCATAAATTGGTTGCCCACAGACTTGGTAACAGTTACTAGGGGGAACCAGCATAAAGATCGCACAGTGTTCCAATAAATACATCATCACGTCATCCCCTATCCTGCTCAGCAGCGTTTCCCAGAGGCCACTGATACGCATGGTTTCTGTTGCGGTGTTGGGCAGGTAGCTGTACACGTTTGAGAGCGGCATGATTTGGAAGTGAGAACTGTTTTCATCCAGCAAGGAGTATCCATACGTGAGGATGTTCTTCTTCTTTTTCCCACACAGCCTCTGCATGACTCTTGAGATGACTTCGCTCTGACTAGATAACTGAAGAAAGAAAGAAAAAAAAAGGAAGATTAGTTTTTAATCAACGACTCTTCTACAAATGACGGCGCGTGCTTTAAATAGCCGGGCACACCAAATGCACGCAGCCCCCAGCCTTCAGCTTCACGTTAAACCTTTTCAAAGCAGCGTTACCGATTCGCAAGCACAAGACTGAAGTCTACGGCAAGGTGTTTACGTACAGCCACCTGAGGCGACCGCTTTCAGGAAGTCTTTTTAAAGCCTGCCCTTTTGATCCTGGCTCTCGTGCCCAGGAAGCACCCGACACTTTGCCTCTTTGCTCTCTCAGCAGCCCAGGCTCAGGGCTTTCAGCTCTCTCTGCCCCTAACCCTGCGCTGGCGCAGGCTCTACCACCAGGGCTGAGGCCTGCGCTTCCTTTTACGCAAAAATAAAGGAGTTTTAGCAAAACAACCCAGCTCACAGCTTCACAACACCCCACAGCCGGGCAGGGACCGCACCGCCCCGCTCGGCAGCGCGGCCCTGCTCACCCCCGCGGTGCCTCCCAGCACTTTGCTCCTCTCCCAACCATTTCTCCTGCCCCAAGCAACGATTTATGAAACACTGAAGAGGCAGAAAAGCGGCCTTTCTCCTTCCTAGCTGCCCCGTGGGGCCACGCTTTGCTCTTTCTCACCCGACCCCACAGCAGGGGCTCTCTCGGGGCAGGAGGCGCCCCATTCCCCGGGGGCAGCCCCCGCCCCCACCGCCCCATACCTGCTCCAAGCTGAAGGGCCGGGGGATGTCGCGGGCGCCGTGGGGGACACACACCACGCACTGGGACACGAAGGTGCGGTAGGAAGCGGCGTCGCTTGTCCCGCACCACCTCGGCTTCCTCGGCGCCGCTCTCCCCCAGCCCCCGGACGAAGGTCTCCAGCGGGGCCACCTGCGCGTAGCAGCCCCGCAGGGCGCCCAGCACGGCGCCGAAGGGCTCCGCGCCAGCCATGTTGCGGTGGGGACGCCCGCCACCAGTACCACCAGTGCTACCAGTGCCACCAGCACCGCCATCACCAGCAGCAGCAGCAGCAGCACCTGGGGCGGCCGCCGCTCCCCTCCCTTCGCCCTCCCGCCTGCCCTCCTCCATCGCCGCCCCCCTTCGCGCTCCCCCGGATGGAGGGCTATGGTCGGACGCCAGCTTTTTAAAGAAGGCGTAGCGTGAAAAAAAAAATATATAATAAAATAAATAAATAAATTAAGAACGCCCTCTCTTCACAAAGGAGCCCCCCGGGCGGCGTGCTGCGCTGCCCCAGCGTGGTCGAGGAGGGGCGGAGGCCGGGGCGGGGCGGGGCGGGTCCAGGTGGGATGGGGGCTGCTGTCCAGCTCCCCAGTGCTTCCCCCCACCCTGCCTTCCCCCACAGGCACCAGCACTGGCTTTCATGCCTGCCTTCCTTCCTTCCTTCCTCCAGCACCGGCCTCCCGACCCCCGGGCTGAGGGGAGATATTGTGGGGAGGATGCTGAGGGAGGATGCTGAGGGAACTGCTGAGGGAAATGCTGAGGGAAATGCGCTCCCTCAGTGATTTCTCTCCTCCTGTGCCCTACAGGCACATCATCATGGCCATTCTCTCCCTCAAGAGGCTGAGGGACCTCTGGAAGAGATGTGCGCTTTCCAAAGCATCCAAGGGTGCCGTGGAAATGTGCTGCGAGCACCGCGCGTGGCAGGGTGGGTGCAGCAGACCGTGGTCGACGTGGGAGGTTGCGAGGCAGGAAACCAGCCCTGGTTTCGGCACAAACGCGTGTCTGGCACAACATCTGGCCAGGCACTTCGTCTTTGATTTCTCAAGCGGCTAAGCGGCGTCTTTTCGGTGAATAATTCATGCTGCGTGTCTTGGGGATTGCCTGAGCTACAGTCAACACGGGTGTTGAAGACCAAGTTTTTGATTGAGTCGTGCTAGTTTATAAAGGTAGATTTCCTGTGGATGAAATCAGGAGGATTCACATCCAAGGAACCCCTCTTAGGATGTCTGAAATTAGAGTAATTGTAGAAGAGGTTATGATGAAGATGAGCAGAGTAAACCCTAAAAGTAACCAACTGGCTGGTCCCGGGGTCTTGTCAAACTCTGGAATGAAAGATCTGAATTGCTCATGGTAGTGTAACCTACTCAAAACTTTTCTTGGTATCTAAAGGCTTCACGGTGACAATATTCACACAAAACCTTAAAGGAGGGTTGCAGTGGAGTTTTGGGGAACTGCAGGGTTCTAAGCCTGATGCTTATTTCATGTAAAGTAGTAGAAATAACAGAATATATGACTAATAGACGCTGGGAGAAATGCGAGTTGATTAGTCAATGTTGGTGCTATTAAAAGGAAGTCCTGCCTTAGAAAACTCTTGGTGCTCTATAAAGGGTTGAGAAGTCATGGAAATTACAGTGATCTGGTTGGTATATTTTACCTGAATTTCCAAAAGCCTTTGTAAGGAAATGTTGTAAAAGAAGAGAAAAAAAAAAAAAATAAAATAAAATAAAATAAAATAAAATAAAATAAAATAAACCAAAACACTAAAAAGGAAGGTGCTGATACGGATATATTACTGTTTAAAAGGTAAGATACAGAGGTAAGGATAAATGGTCAATTCTTTCAACCGAAGCAGGTCACCACTGGAGTTCCATGTCAGTCAGCACTGCGTAACTTTCATAAATGATAACCCAGAAATGCTGTATGAAAGCGGTAAGCAGTAAGATTTGCTGATGGGATGAAGTTATTTAAAGTAGCAGGGACACAAGCAGACTAGAAAAGTGTAGAAGAACATCACAAGACTAAGTGATTGAGAAATTACATGGCAGATGAAATTAAATGCTGTTAAATCAAGTGTGGTGTAGAGGTGAAATGCACTTCTAGGTTTGTATGTAAACTGGTGGGATCTGAGCTGGTTGTTACCACTCAGGAGTGAGATCCTGAGGTTCCATGAAAGAAGTCAACATTGCACTCAGCAGCAGACAAAAAAACAAACAAACAACAAAAACAAACAAACAAACAAAAACAAAGAAACAAAAAACCTAAGGAATGATAGGACACCATTATGCCATTGCATTGGAAGGGCAACAAGCCACTGGTATGTAAGGAATTTGGGCGGCTATTGCTTGTCATTAGTATTGTTGACAGCAGCGGAGTGCAGAATAAATTTAGTCAAGTCTTGGGCAGCAGTGTGAACTCCCAGTAACCTGAACGTGGTATGTAGTGGTGATTGAGCAGCTCTGAGAGGCGTTATGCTAGGGTTGGATGGGGACAGGGGGACTACTGACAGGGAACTGCGCTGGATGAGAGCCATAACCAGAAAGTAAAAGAAACCACTCCACCCCACAACAAAGAACTGCCGATCTGATAGAGCATGGTGTACATGTGCCAGCAACTGATGGGACTATAGCTGATGAAGCAAAGTTTGTACGGGTATAAGAACCCAGAGGAAGCCTCGAGCAGGTCCATACTTGGAGGTACCCAACATGAGCTGATCTACAGATACCCTTAAATTCTCACTGCTTGAAACAAGAGACGACTTCACGAGTGAATTCCAGATGCCTGGGGATAACCACACTGCTAGGGGAAACAAAAGGATCCCCTAACAGCATAAATTCATGGTTCACCTACACCTTGAATGCAGTTGTGCTCTTCTGGCCTCTGTGTCTCACAAGGGATGTACCAGAATTAGAAGAAGTTCAGAGAGGGACAGTCAAATGTGTGGGACAGTGAGCATGAAGATGAGAAGGACCACATGTGAGGTCTTGGTAGTTAGCGTGTCCTTGAAGAGGTGAGTATTGGTCCACACCTTTCACTTTGGGGGTCTTCCTTGGGAGGTGCAGCCCAGGACCAATGTACAAGGAAGCAGTGGGACTGTGGTGGTACCACAGCTGAGAACATGCTGTTTGCAGGGGAGGTTACAACTCTTTGTCCCTATGCTCCGGCAGCAGCAGATCCATGTTGTCAAAGCTGGTTGACATGCACGTGGCAGATGTTTGTGGGTATTGCTGAATTTCTGAGGAGGCCTTTGGGTCATCATTTAACTTGACCCTTTCTACCAACTGTTGGTAAGTGCCTAAGTAGGTGATGCCTCCTGCTGATGCCTTCTTGGTGACAATGACTACAGCAGGGTTTTTTTGTGGGGAGAAAGGGAGAAGAGGAATACTAATGTGGCCAAACTAACAAGGTCTCTTTTCTCCTGTTTCTTTCCATAGGTACCGTCCTGCTTTTCTGTGTGTCCACCATTGCTCCGGAGAGAGAATTCAGGAAAGAGATGGGGAAAGTAACATGGAATGGAAGTTATTTTTAGGAGGATGAATAAGGAAAAGAGTAGAATCATAGAGTCATGAACAGAGTGAAGAACAGAATCATGAGTCTCTTCCAACTAAAGCTAAAGCTGGAAGAGATCTATGGAGGTGTCTTAGTGCCATGTCTTACCAGGTTTTAAATATCTCAAAGGATGGAGACACCACAACCTTTCTGCTCAAACTTGTCCAGTGTTTTACCACCCAAAGAGTAAAAGGATTATTTTTGTATGTTTAAGTAGAATTTCCTGGGCTCACTACCTCTTTTTCCTGTCCCTGGATACCACTGAGAAGAGTTTGGGCCTGTCGTACATTACATTAGCTATTTATATACTTTGATAAGATCTCCCCTGAGCCTTTCCTTCTTGAAGCTAGACAATCCCGGCTACCTCAGCACCTGTATCAGATACTCCACTTGCTTAATCATCTTAGTGGCCTGTAGTGGCGTGTTCTAGGCTCACTCCAGTATAACCATCACCCTTGTACAGGAAAACCCAGATCTGAATGAATAATGAAGTCACAGTTCTCCTCAACAATCTTCATCCTTCAGGGCACACTTAATCGTATCCACATCCTGCTTTTTGACAAGCCTCTCAGAAAGGAAGTTACCCTGGGAACAGCAGATTGTAGTGCAGAGATAAAAACAAAATGCCATTTCTACAGCCCAACATTGAAGTGAATGGAAATAAAAAGTAATGTTTACGTCTAGCTTCAGTAGACTATCTAAAGACACAAGAGATGTTTACTGCAAATGTGTATTTATCTCTTTTAAAGCCCCCTTTGAAAAGGCTTTAACAAAACTGTTGTGAGAAGTGCCATTAGGAAAAGAGAGTAAAATGGCTTTCAAAAACTTGAAGCTGTAGCAAAAAAAAAAAAAAAAAAAAGTAAATAATAAAATCAGAATAGTTGCTGATATTATTCCCAGTCTCACCCTCAGGTTACTGCTTTAGCTAGACCCATACAACCCCATACTGTTAGCCAAGGATGTCCTTCCACGTTAACCAGATAATGAGTATCAATAACCATTTTTAGGGCACCCATCATCTTTCATGGCTTTAATTTTACGTGAATGAAGCCTGCTGTGACAGTAACTTGTTCCGTTCTTTGCTGGGCTGCAGCTGCAGCCTTGGTTTTCTTTGTGGTGGTCTCAGTAACTGGGGGTGACGTTTGCTTCCGTATCTGGCTTCCTGTACTACAGAGCTTGTCTTGCACTGGGACAGAAGTGCCCTTCCTAGCACCATTATTGTTCCTTGTTATCACCAGCCAGACTTGCGTAGGTCTGTCTCTTCCCAGGTGTTTCCACCCCAATCCTCTGGAGCAAGACTCTCCATGAGAGTTGCAGTCGACCCTTCTCTACCTTTTAATTATTGTTTTTATTTTATTATTTTTTTTCAGGCCACCACGTGTCTCCTACCATATCTGATGCTTCCTCAATGGCATGTCTTTGTTCTCATGTGAGACACGACCTTTCTATCTGATTCAGTTTCTCACTACTTGCCCACTGCTCCTTAAAACAGATGTTTAGCCCTTCCTTCTCCTCCTAAATCTGGCTCTTCAATGTCACGGACTTTACTGCATGAGCTACAGCCAGCTCTGGCCAAACTTTGAACATTTCAGTTCTGTTTAATAAATGTTCAATGCTGCTTTTCACCCTCCAGTCCCAATATTTTCTCCACAAGCTCTTTGATCACTTTCAAAGCCATTTGGCTGACAGACAGCCATGTCCAACTGCCTCACACCTTGCTCTTTCTCAGGCACATTCTTCACCACTTTTCCGCACTGCCTTTCAGTATTAGAGAGTGTATTGGGCTCACATGGCAAGGGTTCAGTACCAGGGAAGTTGCAGGGGTGCTCTCTGTCACCAAAGCCCAGCAGCTGCCCCATGTCAGAGCGGAGCCAGCTGCAGCCTGCTCCAAAAGGGACCTGCTGCAGGCCAGAGCTGAGC